AGGTGTCAGTTTTGTTGCCAGAAAAAAAGGGGAAAAACCCTATTAGTATAATTTGCTTCTTTTTGTTTGCTTTTTTGACTACTTGTGTTGTGGTTATTGCAAACATGATGCCTTGAATAAAGGTGTCAGTTTTGTACCAGCTTAAAAGGGTAAAAACCTACTACTATATGTTGCCACTGGTAAAAGAGATCTCATAATAGCAACGAACGTTTTGGGTCTCCTCCACTTGTCCGGATTTGACCCCTGACGGTCCATGAAGGGGCATCGACTGGGACATCCGTGAAAGAAAAGCTCCATAACTCACAGCATTTCTACGGGATGAATGAAGTTTCTTATTCTGTAACTGCGTTCGGACGGCAGCCAATTGATTTGGAGTGAGTGTAGCGGCCTCTGGTGGCTAGGCAGGGTTCACGCGAATTGCATGCACTGCACTGTATGCTAATCGATCAACATTGATTCTTAACAGGGACTATTTGATGCATGGGTCGCGAGCCTTTATGATCTTCTTGGTTCTTTCGGTAAAGTCAGGTAGAATGGAAATAATAAAGTAATACAAATAAAACATAATAAAATAATTCTCACGACGTTTCGGCCACAATGCCAGCAGCCGTCCTCAGGTGGAGAGCAGGTCTGTCGAGTAGACAGAGTCTGACTCTAACTCTGACTGTCTACTCGACAGACCTGCTCTCCACCTGAGGACGGCTGCTTGCGTTGTGGCCGAAACGTCGTGAGAATTATTTTATTATGTTTTATTTTTATTATTTTATTATTTCCCTTCTACGTGACTTTACCGAAAGAACCAAGAAGATGAATCCCTGCAGTCACGAAAGCTTTCAATCGAAATTTAGCCTTGATGATGTTCACCGATCGATCGGTGCAGTTACATCCTTACTACTGTGAGCGGAATGGTTTCGTGCTGGTAACGCTCGTGCCTCACAGCAAGATGCCCTGGGTTCGATTCCCAACTCGGGAGTAGTTTCGTGTTAAGTTTGTATGTTCTCCCCCTGTTCTTGCAGAGGTTTCTTAGAGTTTCGCCGGTTTCCTCCATTGGAAGAAGAAAAAACCCCTAATACAATGTAAGGGGCCGTCCATAAATGACGTCACGCACCTAGGGGGAGGGGGGGGTCAGAGATTGGTGACGATGCGTGACAAGGGGAGGGGGGGGGGGGTGAGAAATGTGACGTCACATCAAAATGCGCAACTTTAAATCAATATAGACAACACGTTCTACTTAATTAAATAGACTTTTTAATAAATGTTTTCTCCTACAACATCAGAGTGCAGCGGCACATTAAATACGCACTACAATGACAACAGTTTAAAGCGATTTGAAGCATGTTTTATATTTTGGGGGGGGCAGAGCTTTGTGACGTCATATTTGAGGGGGGGGTCTGACTTTTTGTGACGCCGTGTGACGAGGGGGGGGGGGGGAAATCGTCCAAAATCGCGTGACGTCATTTATGGACGACCCCTAACTGGTATTGGCCAACTAATTAAACGATTAAAAAATAGTTCTACAAATTACTCCATTTGTGCCACACATCGCAACATTGCCCCTGGCCTTGAAAACTTGGCAGCACGCTGCATAAAAATAATCGTGAGAATCCGCGAGGCTTTCCTGGGTAAAACGATGACTGAAACGACACGACGCCGGTCACGATGTTCACTGCGTCGTTTGTGGCTGTCTCGAGGTGCTGGAGCGCCATCTGGGGGTCATTTGTTGTACTGACACCGCTGGTTTGTAACCGACAGTACTTTAACAATGTAACCCCCTCCCATACTATCGTACAGCGCAAAAGCTTGAGAATATCATTGGAACCTCATTTGCCAGTAAAAAATATGATAATTGTTTTTTTACCCTTTTATCTGGCAACAAAACTGAAATCTTTTTCTATGCAAACATGACTCCTTGTAAAAAAAAAAAAGGTGTCAGTTTTGTTGGCAGATAAAAGGGTAAAAAACTAATAATCAGCTTGAGAATAATCGTGCTGTATTTTACAGAAGTCTAAGTTCTATACTGAGTAGATAACATTGTTAAATTGAAAATCTTTCTAGAATAAGCACGTGCATTTAAGTTTGTAAGCTTATAAACATTTTGGACCAATAGTAATAGGGGTTTCTCCCTTTTTTCTGGCAACAAAACTGAAACCTTTTTACAAGGATTTATGTTCTTGGGTTATTCGGTAAATTCACGTAGGTAAAATAATTAAAACTAAAATTTATAAAAGTAAATTATTAACCACAATACTTGCAGTCAAAATGTAAACAAAAACACACTGATAATGTATGCAATTGTCCTTGAAACTGATTGGTCAACACCAGGACCAATGTTTTCAAGCAACATTTGTTTAAGAGGCAAAATGGACCAGTTTTCATGCCTCTCTCCTTGTCTCAACCAATACAGAACCCTCATCTCATCAATACAGAACCCTCACCCCCCCCCCCCCATCTGATTTATAACCCTCGTCTCATCTGACACAGAACTCCTGATTCAGGCTGGCTCAAAAAGTGCTGGTATTTACAGTTTTGTTGTTGTGTTTTTTACTTTAAAAAGCTCATGAGAAAAACGACTTTACCTAGTAAAACGAGGCAGCTTAAATCACTTCAATATGTATCCACCACTGTTGCCGTCTATTGCTATTTCAGTGTGGTTGTCCGATAGAGACACTGACTTCTACCATAGGGATATGGAATTTCCACCAACGAAAATATTTGCCACGCCATATTTTATTTGAGCAGGGAGCCATGCTCACTTTTGAATGAAGGCCTCATCCCAGACCACAATAAATGCACAACAATCCATCATATGAAATATGGGTTATCATTAATTTGGCTAATTTCAAGCTCTGAAAATGTAACAGATGACGATCTCAAAGCAGAGCACGTGGGAATTTGCGACCCTTACAGTGGACAGGACAAAACGGGCACTCGATTTCTCTTTTTTGACACAGGGTTTACACTTCTCTGCGAGATTACGATGCTGAAAGCACGATGTAAATACTCTTTGGTTCTTTCGGTAAAGTCACGTAGATGAAAAATGAAAATAATACAAAATAAAAATAATAAAATGAAAATAACTAAATTAAATCACGACATTTCGGAGGCAACACAAGCTTCCGTCATCTTACCCTATATAATCGCTTGTCACAAATAGCTCTCTCTATTCACTACAGTAATTGTGCTGTGGCTGTTCCACCTGATGACGGAAGCTTGTGTTGCCTCCGAAACGTCGTGATTTAATTTAGTTAATTTCATTTTTATTATTTTTATTATATTTTTTACTTTTCATCTACGCGACTTTACCGAAAGAACCAAAGAGTATGGATCCTTGCAGTCACGCAAACTTCAAATCCACAATGTAATACATCGGGGAAAAGGCCCCCAAGGAGTAAAAGACATTCATGACACAGTGACGTGAACTATAACCTTGAGTGGTGTATGGAACGAGACTAAAAGTTATTCCAGGCGTTAATGAAACCCTTGGGACATCGACGATTATGACGACGGACAAAGTGTTTTGCACTTTAAACAGACCGTGCGGGGAAAACACACAGGTCCATGAAGGCCGTACATTTTATTTTTTTTATACCAGGACACAGACTTCTCGTACAGCCTTTATTAAAACTCAACCGATCTCTGGCAAGACACGGCTGTACCAGCGCGCCAGGGTGGTAATATGATAAGTGAATGAAAGATAAACAACCACATTACTTGATGGACTGGTTTAGGTCCACACCTCCACCCACATCTCACCTCATTGGCACACACCTGGCTCCGCAAGTCCAATATGAGGAGGGGTAGTTAGATATACGCCAACGGCAAGAACACGTAATACTTCCCGTCCTTAAAGCTCACCGTCAAGTTATGTCATTCTACAGTGCATTCGTAAACACAACAATAATTATTATTTTGACAACGCTATTTAAAAGTTCGGCATATGTTATATAAGCCACATTCTGCTGATGAGACTCAGAGAGTCAAAATCGGTCCATAGTTTTGCCCGCTCAAATGAATGTTTCTGGAAAACAGGTCTGGAAGGCCAATGAACGTATCATCATCATCATCATCAGCAACAGTCGGTATATCCACTGCTTAATGAAGGAATCCCCATATGATCACCATCCCTTACGGTCCAGTGCTGCAAGCCATCCATCTCACTCCTGCACATGAACTGATCCCATAGCTCCATCTCTACTGCGGACATACTATGTGACACGTTCTCTCAAATGGCTGCCATTCCATCAATCTGTCTCGGCCATCCTAACGAGGGGACACGTTGATTCAGTGGTGGGTGTTGTGATGCCAGACGGACAGCCAGGGTTGGATTAAAGTTTTTAGGGGCCTCGGAACGAAGGGTCTAAGTATGTTACTGTATTACATATTGCAAAAAAATATATCAAGTCATCAAAGGTATGTATTTACCAATGCAAAATAAAAATTCCGCTCAAGGTAAATTAATCAAACATACATTACTCACTACACTAATTTCTTCCAACATGTTTTTCTCTCCTAGCTTTAGCTGTGGCAAAGCCATGAACGATGTTATCGTAAGACAAACAAGTTCAATAAAAGTGTGTAGAAATACTGTCGCTCACTTGTAACTTCAACATAGAATGGAGGGGCTTGAGGAGGGCCTACAAAACTAGCCCCTATGGATGAATCCAGTGTTCTCCACTAATTTTCATAGGGGCGGACACTTTCGCCTATAATGCATTAGTGTGAGGGCCGCCACACATTTGAAACCATTGGGTTTGACAGCACGATGTATGTGTGTGGTCTCCAATCCATGTGTTCCTGTTTCTGCCCAGGTTAATATACTTGTGCCAATAATATACAGCGCCTGTGTATATTTCCTTCACAATGTTCTTGCTCTAAACAGCACTTTGTTTTACCCGAGATGGACAGGCCTACTTGCAATTTGAGTCGTCAGTGCACTCTCCATTGTTTTCACTGTAACACAGGCGTTGGCACTTGGATTCGTCCTGTTGAGTTAGAGTGGAGCGGTGCATGTGGCGCAGGGAGGACACCAAACGAAGGTAACCGCATGACATGGATCTGAGTTTTAACAAAGGCAGATATTGTAGAGGGGTTGCTCTCGCACATACACACCACACGTGTGAATGTGGATCTACGTGTCTATCTGTACATGTACTTGTGTGTATGTTAAATGCCACTGACGTTGACCGTGGCTGGAAATCGATCTCAGGTCGCCGTGTCCGATTCCCGGGCCAATACCAACATCAGTGGCAAATACCTGAACCGGTCCTGTGACTCCCCTGGAACAGTGCCGAGCCTTAAACGAGTAAGCTCCTGCTGCTGCAATGTGTGAACATCAGCACTGGTGCTGGCTACGCCACATCCTGATCTGTATAGGTAATCTCTAAAAGCACTTGTCCCAACAGGCGCTGTAGACGATACCGGTGGGGAACTTTTGTGGGATCTTTGTCTGTGTGTCCAAGTGTCAATCATTGATCTTAATGTAGGGACAGGTTAGATTCTAGATTTTAAGCTTTCGTGACTGCAAGGATTTATACTCTTAGGTTTTTTCGGTAAAGTCACGTAGGTAAAAAATAAAATTAATAAAAGTAAAATAAAAAAAATCAACAGGTTAGAGTGAACTCGAGCAACAGTAAGCCTATTTCCAGGTCGGCATAACCTGTGCTTGCTTATTTGGCGAATGTATAGTTGCAGCTACGTTCATACATGTCATGTACTGCGATGCAGTATGTATACGTGTGCCAGGCTAAGTGTGTATTTGTGTCTATTGTACACATTGTGTGAAACAGGTGTGTATTGGGCATTGTGTATATTTGTCAATGTGTGTAGCTCTGTGCACGAGTGTGTATGTTATGTACATGTGTGTACAGATGCCTTACGTGTATAAGACAACATGTCAATGTATACATACAAGTGAGTGGACAAATGTAGATGTTGAGCTTCTATTGCACCGGAGGGAGCCAATCGTGTTCATTGGAGTTGCGGGGGAAGGGCCACACTAAACCCACGCAAACAAAACATCTGCTAATCCAGCCGACTTTGTTTTGCAAGCCTGACTCTGCTGATGAGACCGAGAAAGGTCGAGACCGGTCCCGAGTATCAACAGTATTGGCAGGTGAAATGTTCGCAAAGAGCAAACTGTAGCTACGACAATGTTATTGCATCGCTGACACCAAGCCTGGAGGGTGCTTGGTTGGGTGACCACCATTAAAAACGCATGTGTTTTCGGCTTCTGCGTGGTTACATTGTGCGAATAAGTCAATTGTTGAAACTGTACTGTGCTCCAACATATATGGTCCTCGCCGTCACGAGCCTGCACTGACCGGTTCGATGAAGTGTGTGGGGCAGGAGGTTCAACAATCGTAGTGGTTGCTTCCTCTGTTGACCTGTGCGATCATGTGCACGCGTGAATGCACTTTGACCGCGTAACTTAAATTACTTCCAGGGCCAAAGTGTCTCAACGTGCACGCCAAAGTCGCCGCCGGCAGCGCTCCAAGTTCGGCCCCGCACGTAGGAACGGGCCCTTTACCTTCCACTCCAGGTCAGTATTCAAGGGAGTCACGATCTTTTGAAAGAGAGCACTTTGGGATACTGTCGCAAAATGTGTAGATTTGTACAAGTGTTATATTATTACACAGGCCACCATACTTCAATAGGGATTACCGTTGGTACGGCTATTTTAATACAATCGACAGGAAGGACAAGCTCATAGGGCTCGCATAATACGCATGCATAATGCATCATGTACGTTGACATACAAATACTGGAGGAAGGGCCTTTGCTATTGATGCCCCCAGGGTCTGGAAATATATTGCCAATAAACTGCAACTTGAATCACTACCTATGCGATCTTCACTCTAAACTGCTCTAGAGGAGTTGTACACCCCTAGCTGCCACTGCAATTTAGTGGCCTAAAATACAATGTTTCGCTCCGGATGATCGCTGCAAAGTATGCAAAGTATGATCTGTGTTTTGATTTAGTGTGTTGATCTTAAAGGTGCATTGAAAAATGTTGATACTCCGACTGATGCTCATACTGTTGTGGAGTGACTCATGCAGCCAGCTATGGCTGCAGGGTTTGGTAGTACATGTTGTTTACGTCGTTTATTGTGAAAATTCGGTCAGTTCCTATGACCACTGTTTCATTGCTTTTATGGCTTTATTTTGGTGATTTTCGAAAAGGTTTTTGGTTTGGCCATGTTTGTTTGTTGTAGTACAGAGTTAGACTGATGGCCTTAATCTAAGTTGTCTTGTGCTTGTTGTTGTTTGACTTGCATTCCACTGAGATATTTGCACAGGGTTGGTGTACGGTGATTTTTCTGCAATATTTTGCTGTCTTTTCTTGGATTTTCTGTTTGCACATTGTCACTTTAAGATGTTTTCTTGTTCATGTTTTTGTTTTTGTTTGTTGCGGTTGCACCCGATTCAAGAGCCGAATGGCTCACAGGGCTATACCTAATAAATGAACTTTTGAACTTTTATTAATCCCTCCCCTATTGCTCAAGAGCGCAGAAGCGTGGTCACCACATCTACGCCTCTATATGATGAACGAAACACCATTGGAACCTCATTTGCCAGTAAAAAATATGATAATTGTTTTTTTACCCTTCTATCTGGCAACAAAACTGACACATTTTTTACAAGGAGTCATGTTGCATAGACCATAATACCTGCAGTCATAATGCAAACAAAAAACATAACTCTGATAATGTATGCACTGTCCTTGAAGTTGATTGGTCCACACCCGAGACAGCTTTCCTTAGAGCCTAGTCTCACATGGGTTGGACCAGATGACGCCAAAAGGCGCACAACTCAAAGACAATGCACCATCAAAGTATGAGAGCTCGGGGTAAGCATTTACACCATTTGAACCTCATTTGCCAGTAAAAAATATGATTATTGGTTCTAGACTTGAAGCTTTCGTGACTGCAAGGAATCATATTCTTAGGTGTTTGACGGAGACTTGTGTTGCCTCCGAAACGTCGTGATCTTTATTTTATTTTATTATTTTTATTAATTTTGATGTTTTACCTACGTGACTTTACCGAAAACACCTAAGAATATGATAATTGTTTTTTTACCCTTCTATCTGGCAACAAAACTGACACATTTATATATTTACGCGATCTCACCCAAAAAAACCTCTATTATAATATGATAATTGTTTTTTTTCCCAAGAAAGGCTCACTGAGTTGTACGACTCTCGATCGATTGATACGGGTAAATTATTATTTAAGCGTAAAAGCGTTGCGCTTTAAACCTTCATCCACTGCTGGATGAAGTCCTCCCCACTCCTTGCCGATCTGTGATCACACATCGCCACGGCAATTAATTGCCGGGATGAAGAGAGTAAGCCCAGCATTGGCTCGCACGTCAAAGTGGCACTGCCCTGAGTCGCCACGGCACCTGACGTTGACCTCTGACGAGCACCGTTTTCATCATTCGACTCGGCGTGCGCGATGCACCAGCGGCACTGAGCCGTACTGCACTAACCCCCTGACGAATGTTGTTTCAACCGAGTTACCCCCTTGCCTGACCCACCATGGTCTGGAGAAATAAATGTCATGAATAATGAACTGCAAATATTTTAACCGATAGTAACTGCAAGCGAATAACAAAAAACGCAAAGGACGCTCTGCGTGCATAATGTGATTTGTTCGCGTGCGGTGCCGTTTAGTTTTTATTTTATATCGGCAGATCCATGCACGATTATTCACCGATGACTCTCGTGTATGAAATAATTTCACACATTTATAAATCAGCTCACGTACCCCCCCCCCCCTCCGGGACATTACCACGTGCCCCCAGAGATCTACGTACCCCCCCCCCCCCTCGGTTGAGAACCACCGCGCTACGAGATGCCGACGCTACGGGGCTACGCGTGGCAACTGTCCACGCTGCTACTGCCGCTGCTGCTGCTGCCACCTTTGCCGTGGTCTCCCGCCGCTACCGCTGAGGCTGGGCGAATCCTCGCGGTGCCCGTGGACGGCAGCCACTGGATGGGCATGAAGACGCTGCTGCTGGAGCTGACGAGGCGTGGGCACACCATCACCGTCCTGCGCAGCAGCACCACCTTGTTCGTGGACGAGACGTCCGACGACTTCCACATCGAGAACGTGCAGGTGAGAGACGCTCGCCTGAGATTGTGGGTGGGGCGGCATCCCTCACCCCACCCGCTGACACCTCGAAAATTGTTATTTTACAATGTATACCAGAGGGAATATGTTGAATGTTTGTATAAATGAAGGTCCTTATTTAAACATTTTCCATTTTTTTTATTGTTGAAATTTCGGGAGCGTCCACCACCCCGCACCTCCGATTAGCGCGGTTTGCTACGTACGGTGTGAAAGAAGTTATTTGGGAGGTTTCTAGATCCGCCTCTGGCGGAAGGGCTTAAAGCTACCCAACTTCTGGGAGGCTCAACCAGGGCACATGGGTGGGTTGAGCCGGCAGTCCATCCCACTTTTCAATAGCCCAGCTAACACCGCCCATTTTCGATAACCACGTCCACTCTACCTATAGCCTCCACCTACAAGGTGGGTGGTTTCGTCCTCTGATGTTGGCCATGCCCACTTCTCGGAGAGCCCCACCCCCCACATCAACTCGCCCCACCCATTTAACCCCACATCGTGAGTCGTCAGGCAGAGCATTCCGAAAAGGAAAGTCGGGGAAAAAATCCCTCTTCTCACAAATGCTTTGGGACACCGGGAGAGTGTGGGGTAGCGTGGGTGAGTGGGGAGAGTGGGTGAGTGGGGAGAGTGGGTGAGTGGGGAGAGTTGGTGAGTGGGGTGAGTGGGGAGCGTGGGTGAGTGGGGAGCGTGGGTGAGTGGGGAGCGTGGGTGAGAGGGGAGAGTGGGTGAGTGGGGAGAGTTGGTGAGTGGGGAGAGTGGGTGAGTGGGTAGCGTGGGGGAGTGGGGAGCGTGGGTGAGTGGGGAGCGTGGGTGAGTGGGGAGAGGGGGTGAGAGGGGAGAGTGGGTGAGTGGGTGAGTGGGGTGAGTGGGGAGCGTGGGTGAGAGGGGAGAATGGGTGAGTGGGGTGAGTGGGTGAGTGGGGAGCGTGGGTGAGAGGGGAGAGTGGGTGAGTGGGGTGAGTGGGTGAGTGGGGAGCGTGGGTGAGAGGGGAGAGTGGGTGAGTGAGGTGAGTGGGTGAGTGGGGAGCGTGGGTGAGAGGGGAGAGTGGGTGAGTTGGGTGAGTGGGGTGAGTGGGGAGAGTGGGTGAGTGGGGTAGCGTGGGTGAGTGAGGAGCGTGGGTGAGTGGGGTGAGTGGGGAGCGTGGGTGAGTGGGGAGCGTGGATGAGTGGGGTGAGTGGGGAGCGTGGGTGAGTGGGGAGAGTGGGTGAGTGGGGAGAGTGGGTGAGTGGGGAGAGTGGGTGAGTGGGGTAGCGTGGGTGAGTGGGGAGCGTGGGTGAGTGGGGAGCGTGGGTGAGTGGGGAGAGTGGGTGAGTGGGGAGAGTGGGGAGCGTGGATGAGAGGGGTGAGTGGGGAGCGTGGGTGAGTGGGGAGCGTGGGTGAGTGGGGAGCGTGGGTGAGTGGGGTGAGTGGGGAGCGTGGGTGAGTGGGGTGAGTGGGGAGCGTGGGTGAGTGGGGAGCGTGGGTGAGTGGGGAGCGTGGGTGAGTGGGGAGCGTGGGTGAGGGGGGTGAGTGGGGAGCGTGGGTGAGTGGGGTGAGTGGGGAGAGTGGGTGAGTGGGGTAGCGTGGGTGAGTGGGGAGCGTGGGTGAGTGGGGAGCGTGGGTGAGTGGGGAGAGTGGGTGAGTGGGGAGAGTGGGGAGCGTGGATGAGAGGGGAGAGTGGGTGAGTGGGGTAGCGTGGGTGAGTGGGGAGCGTGGGTGAGTGGGGAGCGTGGGTGAGTGGGGAGAGTGGGTGAGTGGGGAGAGTGGGGAGCGTGGATGAGAGGGGAGAGTGGGTGAGTGGGGAGCGTGGGTGAGTGGGGAGCGTGGGTGAGTGGGGAGCGTGGGTGAGTGGGGTGAGTGGGGAGCGTGGGTGAGTGGGGTGAGTGGGAGCGTGGGGAGCGTGGGTGAGTGGGGAGCGTGGGTGAGTGGGGTGAGTGGGGAGCGTGGGTGAGTGGGGAGCGTGGGTGAGTGGGGTGAGTGGGGAGCGTGGGTGAGTGGGGAGAGTGGGTGAGTGGGGAGAGTGGGTGAGTGGGGAGAGTGGGTGAGTGGGGTAGCGTGGGTGAGTGGGGAGCGTGGGTGAGTGGGGAGCGTGGGTGAGTGGGGAGAGTTGGTGAGTGGGGTGAGTGGGTAGCGTGGGTGAGTGGGGAGAGTGGGTGAGTGGGGTGAGTGGGTGAGTGGTGTTAGGAGAGTGTTGATTGTAGAACGAATTTTGCTGCTGTGGCGACACTTCCTGATGCACCTCTTTCCACAAATAAACATGACCAGTTGGATTAATTTTACGTGAATATAGAATCACAACAGAACCCACGGACAATGAGTTGAGGCCACGGTTAATATTAGTCACAGGTAATAAAAGCGTGTATTAGAGGAGTTTCACTTGAAAGCGTTAATTCATTTAGAATAATGATCATTATTTTGAATCATCTTAGTTGGCAGTCCCGACCCCGTGGTATTCGCCTTAAAAAGGGTGTGGTAATCGAACTCATGGTGCAGGGTGGCGCTGCGGTTAGAGCTGCGAGTTGAAATACCGGTTAGAGGTCTACTCCGCCTATCGCTATCATCGTCAGCACCTCTCCACAGGGTCGATAACATCACACACTCCCACATTTAGGGCACCGTGTCCATCCCATTGAAATGCTGGGGGCCCAGATCGCGTGAGCCTTATTGACTGTTGAGATGCTATCAGAAAGTACCGATGATATGGCTGGTGTGGCACACTAGAAAGTCCTGTGGTCAGGACCAACGCTAATGTTTATACACTGCACTGGGCACTCATTTAGGCAGCATAGGAGAGGCCCAGGCTCGGTTTAGATACAATGTGCCACTGATGTTATGGGTTCATAGTGCAGTGCATGGTCCATTGCACCACACCCCTCCCTACTACACCACAATAGATGTACTTTGTAACTGTGCCATGTACTTGCTGTGGTACAGCATAAACTATAATACAGGATAACTCCTCTTATCAGTGACCCTATCACCGGCCACTGTACTATCTGGCCCAATTCTTCCAATGATCTGCAATAATCCGCGACCTTTCCCACAATTACTTTTCCCATAGTTCATTGGGGAATGGCTTCCAAGCAGAGTGGTGCAGGAAATGAATCCACATGGGTCATCCACGATTTTTTTTTTTACCCCACCGATAAGTGGAGTAAAATCACGCGTAACCCAGTGGGCCAACAGCATCCGCCATTTCGTTCCGCCAGATTCCGGCCAAGACGGTGATCACTCGCGAGGAGGGCTTGGCGATGGCCGAGCGCTGGATCCTGGACGTCGCCTTCGCTCCGCCGAGCACGTTTTTCAGCACCATCTCCTCCACGCTGGCGATGGCGAGGGCGATGGCCGGCATGGCGTCCGACATGGCGGTGGCCATCGAGAAGACGCTGGGCGACGGCGCACTCATGTCGCGGCTGCGGGACGCGCGCTTCGACGCCGTTCTCGCCGACACGTTCTACCCCGGCGGGCCCATGGTGGCACGCGCACTCGGCCTCCCCGTCGCGCTGCTGGGCCGCTGGGAGGTGGGCGGCGACGTACACCTGCAGCTGGCGCCTGCGCCGCTCTCCTACGTGCCGGCGCTCGACTCGCGCTACAGCGACCACATGGGATTCTCGCAGCGCCTCGACAACTTCATCAGGTTTGGCGGCGGGCGACACGATGCTTCCGAAGGGCACGGTGCAAAGTGCGGAACGAAAACAAAGTTACGATGCTGCCCAGTGCCAACCTCAGGCGAGGTGGCAAACGAATAATGGGTTTGTGCGATTTGATTTGAGGCCACGGATGATTTGTTGCAGACAACAGGAGTGTGGATTAGAGGAGTTTCACTTGAAAGTGTGTTATTATTGTTTAAAGCAATCTTGACGATCATCTTAGTTGGCAGCCGTGAGCCAGCAGTGTTGGCCTGAATAGACAGTTATGGATGGAACTCATGGGGCAGGGTGCTGCTGTGGTTAGTGCGATTGACTCGCGATCGGTAGGCTGCAGGTTCAGTGGTGGTTGCATTTCCACCACTGACCAATGTCGTTTTGTGCATTGGTTGTGTCCATCTGAAATGGGAAGGCACAACAACTCCACTAAAGATGTTCCAATATCAACAAAACTTGCACACAAACTTGTGTTGCTCTTATTGACTTGCCCTGTTGAACACTGGCCACATTGGTAGCAGTGTTGTTCAAAACCTGGAGCCACAAACAGGAGCAAAAAGGACCACTTTTAAATATGCAAAGTATTTTCGCCCTGACAACTCCGGTCAGCTGTTATACCACAAATCCAATATTTCCGAAGATAAGCACACGTTGGAATGCGTTACAATCTGCATGCACATCTATTGATTTGTCCATGTCTTTTCTTCTGTCAGTCGTCACATGGCGGCTGACAATGAGGCTGGACGAACCTCTTCACTTTCTTCCAATCTCGAGTCATGGCGATCGCTTCCTCTAGGCCTACGCTTTTCTCCTTTATATCCTTCTTTGCACCTGATCCTGTTTGATCTCCAAAGCTAAGCAGGTCTGATCCTGGATAATGCATAACAGCACGCATTATCGGCCACCTCGTGGCTACCTCGTGGCTAAATTGTGACCAGTGTAAAATCTACGCTCCCCACCTTTACCAACCTGCACTTATCAGCACGGTGAAATGTGGTAAAATAATCCCCCGCGATCTGAACGGCATGGGGTAGTTCTCTCCAGCGGCGGGCTGACGAGAGGTCTGCACTTGTCCGCGCACGGCTGCGCCCAGGTACTGGAGCGCGTACGCGCTGAACCGCGCGCTCGTCTTCCCCACGTTCGACCGCCTGTGCGAGCGCTACCTGGGCGCCGACGTCTCCTACGAGCAGCTGTACCAGCGCGCCGACGTCGTGCTGCTCAAGATCGACTTCGTGCTCGAGTACCCGCGCCCCACCATGCCCAACTTCGTCTACGTGGGCGGCCTGCAGTGCCGGGAGGCGCGGCCGCTCGCCGGCGAGCTGGCGGCGCTGTACGCCGGCGCGGGGCCGCACGGCGTCATCGTGGCGTCGTTCGGCTCGCTCGTCTCCTCGCTGCCCCCGCGCGTCGCCGAGGAGGTGGCGCGAGCGTTCGCCCGCCTGCCGCAGAAGGTGGTGTGGCGCCACGCGGGGCCGCGGCCGCCGGGGCTCGGCGACAACACGCTGCTGCTGCCGTGGCTGCCCCAGAACGACCTGCTGGCGCACGGCGCCACGCGTGCCTTCGTGTCGCACGGCGGCGAGGGCGGCGTCTACGAGGCCATCCGCCACGGCGTCCCGCTGCTCGGCCTGCCCATGTACGGCGACCAGCACGACAACGTGGCGCGGCTGGTGGAGCGTGGCGCCGCGCTGTCGCTCAGCGGGCGCCTGCACGCGCTGACGAGCGACGAGTTCCTGGCGCCACTGCGGCGGCTGCTGGACGAGCCGCGGTTCGGCGAGGCGATGCGCCGCCTGTCCCTCCTGCACCGCGACACGCCGGTGCCGCCGCTGGACCTCGCCGCGTTCTGGGTGGAGTTCCTGGCGAGGAACGGTGGGGCGCCGCACCTGCGCGTCGCCGGCCTCGAGATGCCCGCGTACCGCAGGTGCTCGCTGGATGTGCTGCTGGCGCTGCTGCTGGCGCTCGTGGCGGCGGCTACGGTTGGCGCCTTGATGTTGGTGCGGGTCAAGAGGTGGCTTTGTCAGTCGGATGAGAGGCCGAAGAGGGAGTGAGTGGTAGAGGTGGTTGTGATGTATGTCCAACATCTGTCTACGTAGTAAACCGTGATAATCGGTGCAGGGGAAGGACAACAAACTAAACATTTCTCAATAAATGTTTTCAATCTAGAGATTACGATGGTATTGGTGTTGATTATGATTGTGATAATACTGGAGTGATTATTTTTTTGTAATTGAGTTCTTCACTGAAACTAATGCCTCTCTGTCCTGATCCCTCAGCAGCGGGTCACACCGTGGCAGACAACACGAGACGTGTGCGACGCATCTTCATAATGAACTCTTTAAAAAAGTGTTTTAAAAAAACATCGGTTTTATTAACAAATTCGCTTAACTCACGGTCGAGAAGTACATCACTGGCGCCTGAAACACGCGGCGCCTGCGTTTTGTGCGAGCCGATTTCACAGTTTAGGGACCGCCGCGTTTTTCACCTACACAAAAAATATATAATTAATATGCTGTCCATGAAATAATTGTAATTGCTTGAAAGGAGGAAATAATTGATTAATTGATGCCGAATTTCATACAGGCATGCATTGTCACCGGATCTGAGTACGTGTGCAAAATTTGGAATTGATTGGGCAACAGGAAGTAGACTAACTTTTGATTACAAGATTTGACAACGACACATGAGTCAAGCTCTCTGGCCTCGTACCAATTGAGACGAGGCTCAAAAGGAAGCCGTCTCTGGAGTGGACCAGTCAGTTTCAAGGACAATGCATATATTATCAGGGAGTGTTTTTTTTTGTATTTTGACTACAAGTATTGTGGTTAATGCAGACATGATTCCTTGTAAAAAGGTTTCAGTTTTGTTGCCAGAAAAAAGGGGAAAACCGCTATTATTATATTTTGATACTGGCAAAGGAGGTCTAATGATGATTCAGTAGAACCGTTGAGAAGACCAACAACACGTGTACGTACACGGGCGGCCAATATCGATTCCGGCTCAGAAGGTGGCTGGCGGGACTCTTGAGTCGAGAACCTTGCATCCACGACCATCCGTGCGTACAACTGGGCTCTGATGCAGACCTGCGCAGTGTGGTGATGTACACATATCGCTGCTCCTTTCACAGATATCCAACTAAATGTGGTGCCACCCATCTGGAGCCCCTTCACTTCTAAAGTGCAACGGGGATTATTAATCATCGAGTGCTGATGAACCGAGGTGCAGTAGCATCAGCAGCGACAAATTGGCAGCAATCCCAACAAATTCAGCGGTGTTTGCGGTGGAGGCCGACTGCAGTGGCATTTTCAGGTTGAGCTGCTGGTGCCTCCATTTGCCCTGCTTCGGATTGTGGAGAAATGAAAACACTTTTGCCTAAAGATGTTTTTTTAAGTCCGGCATGTGTCTGTAATAAACGTAGATAAAGAGACCGGTACACTGTACTTCGTATCATGCATTGCATCATTACTACTATAATGAGCCAAGAATGTTTGTGTGTAACGCACGTTTACGTCACTCCACATGCCGCACCCCCGTCATTAATATTCATGAGCGGGTGGATTTTTACACTCGCACAGGTCGAGCGGAAATAAATTTTGTTTCGCAAATTCGTTTGACGTTTTTTTATTGAATGTGAATCTAATAAATAATAATTCTATGCAGAAACAAAGTGGATTTGGTGTCTTTATTTATTTAGCACTTGAGACAAAAGGTAAGTCTAATTTATGCTTCTACATTATGGTAAAATATATATTTCTCGGTGATTTTCCAGATATTGTATCGAAATCAAATTTATTTCAACCCCAGCGACCGAAAGCAGAAGAGAATAAAGTATCAGAGCAGTGAATTTGAACAAATTGAAGGTCAGTTATACAGTGCTGCAGTGACATGAAGTAAAGTGTTCGATGATATACTTTTGTGCAAGATTCACTGCCATTACATTTACACAAGATACAATTATACTCTGCTCAATTTTTTTTATATTACAGCTTCCGTGCTAGGACAGGCAAACAAGCTAGTTGATAATTAAGCTTTATTAGGAGCATCGCTTTGTGTCTCATTTACACATCGAGTTCCCATTCTGTTTGGACACGTTTTGTGTCACGCTTTTTACTAACTCACTCTGTTGTTGTCGTTGTATCCTCAAATCTTGTAACTCAATTTTAACCCACTTCCCAATGTGGTATCGACTGAAAACTTGGTATACTTATGTCGTACTGATGACAATACTATATTCTATCATTAAAAAATATTTCTAAACAATCTTTTTTATGTCTTATGTTTCGGCATGGGTCTAATTGTCCACGGTAAACTGACGTTGGCTGTAATTGACCACGGCCCATGACGTTATGGCAAGCTTCGGGGCCACTTCCTGGAGTGGTGGAGTTCTTCCATTACTAGCACGGTACATTTCATTAAAGCGTGTTTAAAAAAAAAGTTTTTTTATATTACTTATTTTTAGACTCCCGTCACGAAGCGTCAGAGGACTTGGAAAATCACGAGTTGGGGTGACACACCCACGCAAGAATCTCGCCTTGGGGCAACGTGAGGCTACTTGGGACAAGATCTGTTCGGGAGCGCCTATTTTAGGTCAGTACGATTGTCCCCCTCGTTGCTGTTGTCCTGGCAATGTGCAGGTTTCCCCGGGACGTTACACGTTCTCCTTGTTGATATTCTCCATCCCACGTGTCCCAGCTTTTTTTGTGTACCTCAAGAACGGTAACCCCAAGCATTGCTGAGGCCTGTGTGTGTGCGTGTACAGATTATATTCTAGGTTTTTTCGGTCACGTAGGTAAAAATTTTAAATTAATAAAAATAAAATAAAAAATAAAAATCACAGCGTTTCGGAGGCAACACAAGCTTCCGTCTTCAGGTGGGACCGTCACAGCACGATAGCTGTGATTTTTATATTTTATTTTTTATTTTACTTTTATTAATTTTATTTTTTTACCTACGTGACTTTACCGAAAGAACATAAGAATCCTTGCAGTCACGAAAGCTTCAAATCTACGTGTAGAGATTAACAACACCAAGCCCGGATACAGCGATTAGATTAGATTCCTAACAAGGAACAACATCGCTAGCACGTAGCAATCTGAACCTGTCGCGGGCCTCCCCAAGGTTCGCCGAGCCATAAATGAAGTGGCTGGTGTGGCGGGCGTGGGTGAGTATCAGCACCGAGAAGGCAAAGGTGGCCGGGCGTAGTGCTATCCACACTATTCCCTCATTTCGTGCCACACCGTGTCCAACGACAGTCCTGTTTGACGGCCGTGTTGAGGTTTTGTTGTTGTGAATTGCGCTTGTTACACCACATCAGCAGCAGCATCATCATCATCAAATAATTTGTTCCGACTTGAATAGGCACTTGCTGAGGTTAACCAGGGGTGGGGAACCTGTTTTCTGCCAAGGGCCATTTGGATATTTATAACATCATTCGCGGGCCATGCAACATTATCAATTAAAAAATTGGTCAAACATTTAATTAACTCGCCCCTAATGTGATGGCTGTAACCGCTTCTCGTTGGCGAGGCGTGTGATGTTGGCTGGTATTGATGATGTTGCTACTCGCAACTGTTTTCATGGTTTGCTCCTAGATTTATTGAATTTCGAGTCCCGCCTGCGGTTGCCGTGGCAGGGCCAGACTCAATGATTTCGCGGGCCTCATACGGCCCCCACGGGCCGGACGTTCCCCACCCCTGGGCTCAACGGTGGATATTTGGTGCGTGCGTTAAACTGCCAATGTGCAATTTGCCAATACAAAAAAACACATTGATCTCATGCCACTAGCTCGCCTGTTGCGATGTTGTTCACGGGCACGAGTCTCCTCCTCAATGCGGCTTCACCTTCCCAGCTGAAGCCGGCTCTGACCACGGGCGATCCACAGTTCTGCAATGACCTCTGACCCAGCAGGCCGTTTGAGAGTACAAATGAATCAACTTCATGGCGGTACCCCGGGGTTCCATAGTACCCCTGTTCTCGTATAATGTCCATGATGCAGTCATTAAATCCTCTATATTAAGTTATCTTGCTTGCTTAGGACCGTGCAAATCTTTCGGTCGTTTTTAACCCACTTCCCGTGATCCAATCGAGCTAACATTTTTCACACAGACTCGTTGTGCGTGACAATTAATGTTCGTGAAAACATTTTTCCAAAATTTTACACTTTTTAGGACAAAAATATTATATTTAATTACAAATTGCTTAATGGTGCAATGCAATCATCTGACCCATAGGTGGCAGCCATCTCAAGCCAGAGGACGAGAGGACTCGAGCCGCCACGCATATAAAGGATTTATAGTGAAAAACTTTGTTTTTACTGGTTATACTTGTTTTTAGTCTGATGGTCGGCGATGCGGCAATCGACTCATCTCGACGAGCTCTACACGATGCATGATTCAAAGTGTTTTTGATAACGCATTTTTAATGCTGTTTGGCGTTTCGACATCGCGGAGTGGCACTGTTGTCGGATTGATTGGTACCCCAGTCGCGGAGTTAAGTACAACCCCTGGGAAAAATAGCGTCCCAGGAATAAAATATTTAATTGCCGCGGCCAGTTTCTATTATTTGGTACCCCGGGGTGCCGCCATAAGGATCAAACAACGAATAAACCTTCCCTGCCCCTCAACACATTCATTCCCAACCCCGTGGCCTTCAAAGGCAACATATATATTTATAGCATAGGCGATGTTTCAGGCCACGGCCCTTCACCGTGCACAGATGCACGTTTTAAAAGTACAGTATTTACCGTGCAATGGCGTGCAATGTTATGACGCTATAAAATTTGCGTTATTTTTAAAGCGATTCAGCAGCTGCAACAGTTGCGCAAGTGATGGCGCCCAGGGACCCAGCTTCAAACGGATCGCGCGGGTGGCGTTGGCGCCTTATACACTTTGCTTTGAAAACCCGACGACCTTGGCACGAGTGGCCACGAACGGTGCGAAAAAAGTTCAATAAATATACGACCCGAGATCGATTTGTGGCCACGGCTAAGATCAGTTGGCGAGTGACGTGAACCGGTACTTAGCCACGTGCTTTCAAACAACCCGACTGACTGACAAAGAATCCCAGCAGTGGCTTTGCCGATGGATGCAATTATTTACGATTGTGCATGCATTTGAACGGCACTCACGGATTAAATGCAAATTAAATGGCCGCATTAGGGCGTACGTGTGTGTGTGTGTGTTTAAGTGCGATCATTTAGGAATGATTGCGTTCTGACATCACAGTTGACGTGGCGTAGCGTGGCTGGCCTGATCCGCGGTTCAGGGAATGGAAATAGGCTCCCCTCCCCGATCCGTGTTGCTGTTCGTAGCCCAGGGTCAAGGTCCCTCTGGCTCGTGAGCCTCGGGACAGTTGCACCGCCTGCACACTCGATAGCTTCGCCACTGGTGAGTTGAAGTGGGGGGGGGGGGGCATTTTACAACCCAGTCGGGACGAGTGCAACAATGTATCTGTGACTAATGCGCATACCGTCATGTGGACATACACAGCACATCATCATCCATGCGTCATCACCACCATAATCACCCAGGGATGTCTGTCCTTAACGTTCGTGACGTCACTCCACATCGACCAGCCCCCTCCCGTCATTAATAATCATGAGCAGGTGACGTCCTCTAAATGGATACCCCCACCCCTCCTCATTAATATTCATGCGCAAGTGACGCCACTCCACATCGAACAGCCCCCCTCATTAATAATCATGAGCAGGTGACGTCCTTCACATGGACCCCCCCCCTTATGAATAATCATGAGCAGGTGACGTCCTCCAAATGGACACCCCCACTCCATTAATACTAATTAGCAGGTGACGTCACTCCACATGGGGGGGGGGCGAGGCGCCTCCTCCCCCCTCCTCGGCGTCAACTCACAACCCTCACTACAAAGGCAGAACCCTCACGTCACGCGATCTCCGTCACGCTGTTGAGACATTAAAGTAAAAAGGACGTCATGATGAACAAGGGATTATCACCTTTAAATGCAATAGGTCTGTGTCACCGCGCCCTTACAGATTGCACACGCACTGATGCAATGGATATCACGTCGCGGTCTGCTTTTCGCTTGCAAGTTTCAGATTTACTGCAATACACCCGTCCTTGGACGGGCAAAAGGCTCGTTTATTAATATTCCTCATCATCATCAATGCACAACATCATGCATGCTTCATTATCACGATGATCGTCATGAATTCACAAGTCATTATCCAGGCATCAAGTCATGTGCGTTAATAATCGCATGCATCATTAATGCGTAATATTAATCACCCATGCACGATCATCGTTATGCAAAGGTTACTCATGCAAAACGAGAGCTAATGAGCCTCGGTGGATTTTCATCCAATTAAATAAGGTCTTTGCAGGTGTTAAGGTTCATGACCTTTAGTATAAAAAAAATCCAAAGGTCAGACGTTACCATTTCACAGATCACATTAGCTGGGGCCAGAGTATGAGCCCTCTTATAAAATCGTAAATTAATCAAAATTAAATATTGGAGGAAAATCGTGAAGCCCAAGTTGCTTTTACAAAACAAAAGGCATCGGGTTCCACAATGCCCCATGGCATTCTAAAGCCATATTGTCAGCAATCAGCCTTGCATTGCACAAATATAATGTACAGCTGTGGTAAAGGAACCAGGTAGAGAGATTTCGACTTAAAGCTTTCGTGACTGCAGGGATTCATCTTCTTGGTTCTTTCGGTAAAGTCACGTAGAAGGGAAATAATGAAATAATAAAACTTTACATAATAAAATACAATTCTCACGACGCTGTCTTTCCGACAGACCTGTTCTTCACCTGAGGACGGCTGCTTGCGTTGTGGCCGAAACGTCGTGAGAATTGTATTTTATTATGTTTTATTTTTATTATTTTATTATTTCCCTTCTACGTGACTTTACCGAAAGAACCAAGCAGAGGTAGAGAGATGTGCAGCACTTGCTCATGCCACTTATGGCAGACGGGCCTCCACTAGAGTGAGCTCTAGAGAGCCCCTTCAGAGGGCATATAACCATGGCAGAACATCTTGGAATAAGTGGACGTAGCTACTACACTTTACCCCACCACGCAACACCTGCTGATTGGCTGTGGTGTATCCCGACCATGAAGGTGGCCAGGAATTACAAACTCGCTGATGATTTTAAGCGGCGCGCCGAGAGGTAGACTCGAACCGGCGGCATCTGGGTTGCAAGTCCAGTGTGCGAACCATTTCACGACGGCAGTGTCGGATGACGAACGAACTATATTTGTGAATTGTTGGCGCCCTACAATTTTCTTTGTGGGCCTTGCGGCTTTTGTGTCGGGTGTTAGGTTGAGTCATACAAAGCTTGTTCGGCATTCATGAATACATTAATGCCTCCACCCACCTAAGCACAAAGCCGAGAGACAGACTCTGCTCTTATGTACACACATGCCTCACTTGATTTTTTTGCGCAATAAAAACATGCAGACGCCGATTAAGAAAAAGTTATTTTGTTTCGACAGATGCAGAGCATATCAATGCATTCATTTAAACTAACAAAAAAATCGTTCACTTTTCTGTACACATATAAAATGAGATAAAAACGCATCAACCTTGCAATTACAGCAAACGTGATTTTTTTTTCGACGGACCAAAGTAAAAAAAAACAGTTCAGCTGTTCACGTGGTCGTCTCTTGGCAGGCCCAAGCGAGTGTTGGAAATTCCACATTCACATGTCGTGGCTCAACGAAAGCAATACACACAGCCTCCACGGCCCAATTCACCCTGAATGTGGGCAACATCGTCAGGTCTCGGATTTCAGAAGCTAATCAGGGTTAACCCTTATTCTTTGGGTCTTTCGGTTAAAAGATGATTAAAATAAAATAACAAAAACTACGTTTCGATCACAACACAAGTGATCGTCATCGGGACGATGGCTTGTGTTATGAGCAAAACGTCGTAGTTTTTTGTTACTTTCTATGAACTATCTACGTGACTTTACTGAAAGACCCAAAGAATATGAATTCCTGCAGTCACGAAAGCTTTAAGTCAAGGATTAACCCTTGTTAGTACTTCGAAGGGAGACTCGGGGAATACCAGGTGTTGTAGGCTTGAGCCAGGAGGTCGCCATCAGATGGTAGTACAACAATGGTTTCTTGAACCTGGCGGAGTTTTGAGTGTTATCCCCTCATACGTTTGGGTTTTTTCCAGTTACTCCAGTTTCTTCCCACAAGGCAAATATCCATGTTGTAACACGCACAGCTTGTGTTCGTAGTGTATGTTGAACTTCTTTCGCACCATACGAAGCCAACCGTGCTAATCGGAGGTACAGAGAGAGGCCAACATTCACTCAAAGAGAGATAATTATTAAGAGAAGGCAGCATGAACCAGAGGAGCTAACAATTGCCCAAGCTCTGCAATACTATACTGGGATATTGGGCCTACTCCATGATTAGTGTTTTATACATTTGAGAGGATACAGGAGTATGAAAAGGGGGGAGAGGTAACACTCAATTCCCATACCGATGGAATACAGATGGAAGTTAATCCGCTTTCTGTGCTGCCACATCCTGGCGAGTCAGTATACTGTGTGACCTTGAGACTCATTCACCAACCCTCATCGCCACAGAGCTGGATTGCAGGCGTGCATAGCCACCAACGCCAAGCATAAATCAAACACTGAATAATGGCAAAATTCCAATGCATGACCCTTCTGAAAAAAAGAAGTATTGAGGTTCAATGATGGGTTACACTATTAAAATACATTTTGTCCACTGCTCCATCTCACCAGTTGGTAAAATTTTTCACATCATCTAAGCACCCTTTTTGCTTTATTATCCCATACAGAACCTCTATTACCCAACACACCACACTTGCCCTTTGACACAGAGTCATGGGGGGTCATCCAAAGCAGAATTATTGCCATCCCATACAGAACCCTTATACTAATCTGATATAAAACCCTGAATGTGCCCAAATAAAGATCACTTAAATGAATTCATACAAAATCCACATCTCGTGTGATACAAAACCATTGCTACATTCGGTACACACCTGAACATATCAACTGTATAACCATTATCTCATTCAATATAGAACTCGCATGAATTAGAACCCTTGATGCAACGATGACAGTACCTGACAAATCCAAAATATAACCTTATTGTTATCCGATACAGACACCCTGACACACTCAATATAAAATCCTTGTCCCATTACGACAATTCAAGTTTGACCGTTCAGTTTTGGATCATCCCACTCGGACAGAGCCCTCCTTTGATACCTCAACAATTCAGTTCCCGAAGTAGATCGCAGGAACTGAATTGCGGCGAAATGTCAGACAGGGCTGAACAATACCCCGGTACAACAAGAACACACATCGGAGAATCTCAACACATTTTTTCAAAAACTCATTTTGTGATAATTACCTTTTTTTAAAAAAATGTACACGCCACCAATTGTCATGAATTAATCATTCGCAATGGGCTGGGGGTAAACGCTTAACAAATTCACAATTAGTTGTAACGTATATTACCGTAGCTCAAACGCACGGGGCATTGCCGACAGAGTTACTATCCAAAGGTAATTGTGGCAGATCACGGATTTCAACAGAAGTATAGCTTTTGGTAAGCCGAAGAACACCAGACTATACAAAAATAAATCGTCTGTTTGAACATTCTGGAGATAAAGCACCAACTGGCTAAAGAAATGATTACACGTTAAACAAACTGCCAAGGACAGCACCATGCGCCGGGCGTGCGGTGTGTTTGCTTGTTAAACAAGACTTTTGGCCCTGCCAGTTCTGCATTTGTTTCATGCGGGAAGGCGCCACGGTTTTGTTGAAATGGATGCCCGCTGTTATGCGACAGCTGCATTCGCATTCCTCGGTTTATGGGAGAACTCTATAAATGTGTGTGAAATGCAGCAGTTTGTAAAACGCAGTGTGCGCAGCTTCAAGGCTTCTCAAGTCGAGAGTCTCCCAGCTGCAATGAGTGTGGGGTGGCACTTGTATTTTGTTAACGGCCCCGGTGGCAATGTTATCTCTCTCTCGCCAGATATGCACGAGGTCGTGGGTTCGATTCGGACCCCGACGCCTGTATATTTAGAGTTCGAATGTATTTCTCCGGGTCCTCCGGTTTTTCCTTCCACATTTAGAAACATGAGTTTAGAACGAACGTTCAGAGTATTTTGGCTGCTATACATTTCCACGTGATAAGCCACTTCGCTGAGATATCATTTGTGGCCAGGTCGTTTCTGAAAAAAAGCGATATACCTGTGGCCTTACCTGATAAAATAAAAAATAAAATAAAAACAATTGTAAAAAAATACGAACAACTTAAAGATTCCTATGGCCAATGCCAGAACGTCTATAGGACAACTACAGTCTGCTTCCCACAAAGTGGAACACATTCATCTTATCAAATTATGGGCTGAGCTGACCGTGACCTTGCTTTTAACGTGCACATTTCTAAATGCTGGTCGAAAACTCTGACCTCAGCGCAACACAGATGGCTTCAACAGTCATGTATTCGGACAGAAACAAGCTATTATTGACAAACCCATGATCTCAAAATATCCAGACCGACCATTCCAAGGTTATAGGATGATACAGTTTTAGCTGCTCACAGCCGCCAATCACAAAGGGATGCTTTAAAAATGTTCGTGCAAAAACGGATGGCCTTTGCTAACGTCAAAGATTAAAACGAAGAACTTTGCTCCCGATAGTATCACAAATGTAGTTGCATTGTTTTTCAGTGAAATAATGTGCCGTAAAATTTCATCATCGTCATATTAAAACATAAACAGTTGTCTCCGCATGTTTAGTGGGATTAAACAATAGTCTGCATGCACAGAATGATTAATTTTCCCCCAAGTTAGACATTTGTCTCTGGTACAGTCATTGGTGCAGTTCACCACAGTGTGGATCGGCTGTCATTCACACGTTAGGGGCACACCGATATTCAGAGCTTCGGAGAGATGGGAACTTGGCAGTCCTTGCAAATCCAGGCTTCACACAGCAATCCCAAAAACTTCAGACCCCCCCCGCCCCACCCCCAGTGCCTGAAGCAAAGTCATCACCATCAGCTTCGTGACCACCACCACCACCGTCACCATCTTCCATCACCTCCACGGAACATTGGATTCAACCACACCCTGCATCAAAACACAGCAAAGACAAAGAACACAATTACGAGTGCTGTAGCATCGGTTGCTGTGGTGTATAGGTGAGCATGCTGGACTCGTAATCCAGAGGTCCTGGCAGGACAGGTTGACACAATGGTGCATGATTCTTAAATCTCCGTGGCTCTATCCGCCCAGCAGCGTAAGTAGTTAGTTTACGAGCAGGTCCGTGTGTGGTGGGGTGGATGAGAAGGTCACAACACCTTCTGGTGCTTTCCACCAGCAGTAGTGTGAACGAGAAGTTGCAGGGCTGCACCACTATTAGTCTTTGTTGAGTTGGCTATATTAGCCTGTTATGGTCAGCATCATGCAGCCACACTTTTTATGATTTTGAGCAGAGTAATTTATTACTGTGCCATGGATTGGCGGCGCAGTGATAATAACGCACTGCACGATCAACGTTGTTGTGGACATCATAAATAACAAAATAGATAAGTAGACAATATGTCTATCGTGTCTATATTTTTGTCCATAAAAAATATAAAAGTATTTTTTTACACAAATAGTCGTCCCACGGTTCTTTGGGAGTGCATCATTTCAGCAGAATGTATTAAAAACAATGAAACTGGCCCAGTGTCTCATCAGCAGTCACGCTTTGCTTTAATACATTCTGCTGAGATGCCAGATGTTATAGACAATGTCACTCTCTTCAAGACATGGGTCTAATTTGATGTAAAATTATGTTACACCAAATGTATGATTTTTAGTATATTGTGCTATGTTATGTAATTTTGTGTCAAACTGGGACCCATATCTTAAAGAGTGAATATGCCTCTAACGACAACATCTGGTATTTCATCACCATTGATTCAAGCGAGCCCGACGCTGCTGCTGAGACACAGTATGTCGTGACCGGTCCAGAGTTTGCAAAGTTTGAATGCGGCCGAAATTCACATGAATGTAGACAGACCATATGAAGTAGACGTTTTGTCTGCTTATCCGTTGTATAAAGTGTGAGTTACAATTGCTGACCACCGCTAACATCGGTGAACAATGACTTAACCCGTTGCAACATCCACTTCCCCACCACCCCCACGTACCCAACACTTTCACCAACCAAAATGACAGCATGGTGAAGTATGGTCACACAACTCCCATGCCTGGCAAGGTCTTGAATCAGCGGCGAATTGATAAAGGGCTCTGAAATATTATCTCCATTATTGTACTATTGTTGATATTGCATTTTCTAAAAGAATGTTCATGTAAGCTTTAGAATAATTTGCTGTTGGGATTAGTGATCTTTACAAGTTAATGTATGGCAGGTATGGCACACGAGGGGGTGGTGTAGGCAGAAAGATGCACACCAGGCCACCTTAGTCTCCCCATTGCCAACGTGAAACTTCTGGCACCAGGTGCTCATTCTAGTTTGAGTCACACTAATGGAGGCTCAGGCCAAGTACAGGGGGGGAGGGAGAGGGGAACAACCTCACTGGTTTTACAATAGATTGTGGCCAGGAAATTAACCCACTTCCTGGAGATTGTGGGTTACTGTCCTGATACATGCGAATCTTAAAAATGTACAAACCCATAAAATCATTCATATTTACCAACACATGGAAAACCCAACATACATAGAAACCTATGCACAAATACCAACAAAAACAAAGATCCCCCCAGAAAACTTTTAACAGCCGATTGGGGTAAGTGATGTTCAAGAACACCGACTATAAGGTCAGCACAGTATATGAGGGAGTGGATAGCCAGCACTACGCCGAGCCGCCTTTGTCTCCCTCGTGGCAATGTTTACACATCACACAGGGCATCTTTTGAGGCTCAGGCCCAGTTCAGATAACCGTCACCGATTTTGGCTGAGAGCAAAAACTGAACTCGGGTTGCCAGGTTCATCGCAGAGAGCGTGCTGACCACCGAGTCATCGCTCCCCACACGTAAGAAGAACCCCCAACATCCCACACACACACACACAACCCACACAACCCACACGCATACATTAAAAAAAACCCACAAACACGTATGCTGATAAGAACACAACTGCAGTACAGTAGAATGGAAACAATAAAAATAATAAAATAAAACATAATAAAATAATTCTCACGACGTTTCGGCCACAACGCAAGCAGCCGTTATCAGGTGAAGACCAGGTCTGTCGGGGAGACATTCAGACGCTGTCTCCCCGACAGACCTGGTCTTCACCTGATGACGGCTGCTTGCATTGTGGCCGAAACGTCGTGAGAATTATTTTATTATGTTTTATTTTATTATTTTTATTGTTTCCATTCTACGTGACTTTACCGAAAGAACCAAGAAGATGAATCCCTGCAGTCACGAAAGCTTTAAATCGAAATGCAGTACAGTAATTCACAAAAACAGGATGCTTTTTTTTTTATCCTGTGTGGCTAGGCGCATTTGTGCCAATTCACTTTCCCCGGCATTTGTATGGGCCGTCACATTTCTGCGCAGCGATTCCACTCACTAAAATTTGATTCTTTACCGTCTCATTTTTTTGCCATCTCATTTGTATTGCTTCTCAATTTCCTCTTTCTCTGTTCATTCCATTAGCCCTGAACGCAAGCTTCGCGTGTAATTCCCACGTAATAATAATTCTAACTATGCATGAAACATAAGCATCCGTTTTAATAATTGAATCGATGCATCATTGCACGCCTACTGTGTAGGAACCATGTAGACTGCTATACTGCAAACACTATAGATGTGTTTCCAATCTTTGGATTCATCTGAAATATCCAAAAATCAGGCATTAGATCAAATAAATCCAAATGATCGGGAAACATTTTGGTTTCGGATGGATCTGAAAATGTCACAGAAAGTGCCGTTTTTTCAGTGGCATCACGCCAACACTTTTCACGTCAAAATTGCCATCAGTGTTGCTTAAACTGTTTAAATTTAAAAAATCCAGTATACACAATTATTGTTTCACTGATGTAATTGTAAGCATAATCAGTTTTCAATGCTTAATACTCTATTCAACACTAAAGTCCGAAATTTTGCCTAAAAATAAAATAAAATATTTGATCCTAAGCTCATCTCTAGCACGTACAGAGTTGGCTTAACATCTGTATGCGGAGGCGGTTTGCTTTACAACAGCACTGTCGTAGCCCTGCAGGTACCATCCTGAGATGTAGCCAAATGTGGACCTTAAACTGGTGTAAAGTCTACTCCCCTCTGGCTATTTCCAACAACGCGATAAGATAGCAGTGTCTCATTTAGAAGCCGAACTCATTCAATGGGATACTTCACTCCACCAACTTATTTTCCCACATGGCAATAATGTTGTTGTTATAGCGCCATAAGTTTATAAATATCACGGTCGAATGCAGTAAAGCAAGCCGGCTGATGATTTGACTACACATCAATTTTTTATTTTATTTATTTATTTGTGTGTTTGTTCTCAGGGAAACTGTAATCTCACACGGGAAAAAATTGTAAGAGAATTGCCAAAACATGGCAATTCAGACCCTCTTGCCGAAAACCCATGAGATTTGGGCAATGGCAGAGCCAGGATTTTCAGGTAGGGAGGGGGGCAACCCCTCCAGCAATGAAAATAGATAGCAGTTGTTAGTAAGTAAGGACTTGTCCCTTGCTTTTTATTCGATGCGTGTGCGGCATCGCGCTCGCTGAAGGTGAATGCCTTTAGGGAAGTCGTGTACTGTATACGCAACTGCGCACAATTCTGTGAGTCACTTAGAACTGCTTTGCCGTTACTTATTGCCAATTATGGACTCAGACTATTGTCCTATCATCTCAGAGTCCCTGGCACGTAATAATACGCTTCACAGTGGCAGTGGGGGTCGCAAAATACCGATGTATTACTAATAAACTCCAATGATCCGATTGAAATTAGGGATTTTGATCGGATCATTGGGGGGGGGGGGGGGGGGGGGCACGTGCCACCCCACCCCCTCCACGGGCCCCGCCAGTGGATTTGGGTAAGACTTTCCTGGATGAAAAAAGGGACGTTTAATTTTTCATACCCGTGGGTGACATGACACTTGGCAGGACATTCACTTGACCCTCATCCGAAATCCACCATGCCCCTGATGCTCATCATTCACAAATCATTAACTCACTTGACCCTCACCACTCACCAGTATAAAATGGTGCTGAGCCTGTTGAGATTCAATGATTCCGACTGCATAAACCCCCATCCCCGAACCACGCAGGATTTTGAAAACAAATGCTGGGCCTAATAAGCAGCACCTGGGACAATACGGCCAATTATCACGGCAAAGGTTAATTTAGACCTCGTTCGCATTAATTACGTATCATACTCTCTCAGATGACACCTGATTAAGTGAACGTGCTGAAGCCCGATGACAGTGATGAGGTATGTACGATCTTTAATGACCTTTAACCCACATGAAACCAATTGTAGCAGAATTGGTTCACAACGGCAGTATTGTTGAGTTTTTAGAAAGTCTGTAACACAATTCCCATTATTCCATTTTGTTTTACGTTACAGTTGGGATTAGTTTTGTAAAAGGACGAGAAAAGAAATCCAATAAAATCATGAGTCACCTCATTTCGCCAATATCTTTCCCTCCTCGTAATAAGAATGGAACTATATGACCATATGTCTCTATCGAGCCGATAGGGTGACATGTGCAATTTCACAGGCGTTTTGCTAGTCCCGCAGTAATGACTGTGCAGCACTCACTCATCACAACGTAGATATGTCCACAAAGGTGCTCGGTGCTCCTGAGCCCCTGGGAGTGATGGGGCGAATTTGAAAACTGACTCCTCTCTTCTTGGAGCTTGGCGCGATCATGGGCTTCATCTCCATGGACGAGGCTGCTCCAGCAGGTGATGCTGCAGCTGCTGATGACGACGACGACGACACCGCCGATGCTTCCCCCGGTACTGCAGAGTATTTTAACAATCGGGCACTCTGAGTGCCACGAGTGCCACGAGTGCGAGCCTGCGGAGGATTTTGCCGGCCGGCCGTCGACGACGGCAACGTCGAGGCCCCGTGAGCCCTTTCCGCCGCTCCCCTCTGGCTGCCGAATCGGTTCGACAGCCGCCGCGACACGGTTCGCGCGAGCCGCTCAAAGCCGCCAGGCTTTCGATCGTCATCGAACTCTGAGAGGGGCACCTCGATGTTGCCCGTGTACCAGAAGATCCACCACACGAGGCTCAGGAAGACCAGGATGGCGCCGCAGTAGATGAGCAGGTCGAAGTAGATCACATCGCCGAAGAGGCCCCACGTGAGCAGCGCCACGCCGGCCACGTCGAAGCTGATGGCGAGCACGAAGGCGTAAGCACAGCGGCCGATGCCTCGCTTGGGCACCGCCATGCCAGGCTGTGGGCACAACGAGACACGCAACTCGGTCAGGGAGCGGGTGATGGGTAGGTGTGCGGGCGAGAGGGTGAAGTGGGTGTCGGTGAGTTGGTGCGTGTGGATGGGTGGGAAGTGGTCGTAAACGGTCAGTGCACTGCACTACGAAACCAGCTACCCGGGTTCAATTCCCGCTCAAGGCCAATATTTACGACAAATATCTGAACCAGTTGTGGCCATCCCTTAGCTCAGGGGCGGGGAACCTTTTTTCTGCCAAGGGCCATTTGGATATTTATAACATCATTCGCGGGCCATACAAAATTATCAACTTAAAAATGTGCCTGTTATATTTGGTCAACATTTAATTAACTCACCCCTAATGTGATGGCTGCAACTGCTCCTCTTTGGCGAGGCGTGTAACGTTAGCTGGCTATTGATGATGCTGCTACTCGCAACTGCTTTTCCAGGTTTGCTCCGAGATTTATTGAATTTCGAGTCCCGCCTGCGGTTGCCTTGGCAGGGCCACACCAAATGATTTCGCGGGGCTCATACGGCCCGCGGGCCGGACGTTCCCCACCACTGCCTTAGCTCGACTGTATGGTGTGTAAGCATCAGCACTGGGGAGACAAAGGTGTCCAGGCGTGTTGTTGGACTCCCATCCCTGTGTGTGCTGTGCAGCACCTTAATAGGTGCTCGCTAACGGCCCTTGACCCCAACAGTCTGTTAAAGCCTATCTCGGAGATCATTGTCTTTGTGTCTGAGAGTTGGAAGATAGTTGCGTAAGGGCATGCAGGTGAATGTGCAGGTGGTTGGGTATGTGCGTTGGCAGGTGTGTTGGTTAGCACGGAGGTGTTTTTGGTGATGAGAGTTGGCAGTACTGTGTGCATCCATTGTGCACACCACAACATTCTGTTTCGCCGTTTTGGTCTTAAAATAGGGGCTCGCTAACAGTAATTTTCCCAGCAGACTAAAAAGCTAAACGGAGTGACCTTTGTGATCAGTCTGTGTGTGCCGTGTATTGTCATCGTCAGCTATGATCCATCTACTGCTGGATGAGAGGTCATTCCCAAGTCGTCGTCGGTGTCTGTCACCCTCCAGCCAGTGACACGTCTCACCAAAGCCCCCTTTGTTTCTCTCGACAGTCAACATACTCCCTTTAACCCACCACTCACCCACCAATTACCAACCACACTGCAGGGCACCTCACTTCTCTCTCTGCTTCTTCTCTGGCACTGTTCCACTGTTTGAATTCCCTACTCCATCATCATCTCTTTCTCCCAAAGCCCTTACTACAACAACCTCGCTCAAATCAAGAAACGTGGTACACTCCTATCTCTTACAGCGTTCATCTTCTTGGTTCTTTCGGTAAAGTCACGTAGAAGGGAAGTAATAAAATAATAAAATAAAACATAATAAAATAATTCTCACGACGTTTCGGCCACAACGCAAGCAGCCGTCCTCAGGTGAAGAACAGGTCAACGTCTGTCTTTCCGACAGACCTGTTCTTCACCTGAGGACGGCTGCTTGCGTTGTGGCCGAAACGTCGTGAGAATTATTTTATTATGTTTTATTTTATTTATTTTATTACTTCCCTTCTACGTGACTTTACCGAAAGAACCAAGAAGATGAACCTCGCTCAAATCAAGACACGTGGTACACTCCTATCTCTTACAGCGTTGTTGACTGTGCTAGTTGTTTGTTGCTGACCACTTAAACTCTTTGGGTCTTGGGCCTGTACTCAGCTGCTATGTAAAAAAAGCATAATAACTCTAATTTTAGTCAACATACTCCCTTTAAGCTGTCCATGTTTCATCATCAACGCGTCCCTCGTTCTGACTCTCAGTGCCATCCCCCACCGTGCTTGCTTGCACACTTTCAAGACTTTGCACCATTCTTCTACATCACTGTACTCCAAGCTTCTGTCATCTGTGCCATGGCAGGTAATACCGTAAGCGTTTATAAACACGCTCTCACAAACCGAGGCGGAAATATATATTTTAAAAACACCATTGTCTACATATTTATAAACAAGAACTTGTTTTTCATGAAAATGGAAGTTATATAAATAAACGTAATCATATGACAAGGGGTCAGGCAAGGCGAATTTCGATAAAGTGACTCAAAGCGAGAATTCTAAGATGTTCAAAAAAAACATAATTATAATTGGAGAAATACTTATTAACCACTTCAGATTTTCCGACAACAATGTTATTATGAAGTCCAACGGGGAATAAACAGCAGGAAATGCTTGAAGTTGATAAGAGAAAGCTGAAAAAGCTGGACTCAAGGGGTAGATGTCAGAAAACTAAAATCACGTTCGACAAGCCGAGCTAAACAATGATCTGATGGAGGGACACAACAGCTAACAACAGATAAACCTATCACAGGGTATAAGCATTTCACAGACTATGTTTACCTGGGGTAGTTATTAGCGGCAGACCAACACCAAAAATCTGAACTTGATAATAGTAAACAACATTAATTCTTTGATCTTGATTTGAAGCTTTCGTGACTGCAGGAATCCATACTCTGGTTATTTCGGTAAAGTCACGTAGTCAGGCGAGATAACTACACCAAGAGAACTGCTGAAGCAGAAATTGAGTAGTTTTCTTGCTGTAGATTGTCTCACCTGATGACGATTGCTTGTGTTGCGATCGAAACGTCGTGATCTATTTTTTTTCTACCGACGTGACTTTACCGAAAGAACCAAAGAGTATTCATTATTTGGTATGATCAAGTTTCGATTTTTAAACGCTTCTTGTTTTTCCAACAACCGCATTTAACGACGACACAGTAATGCTGTGCGTACACGTGTTTAAATAGGTGCAGCGTATGTGTGAAAGGGGTACGTGTCTTACACATGTAGTACACGTATGGGAAAGTGCGTCTTGTTGGTATATTTGTATACAAAGGTGTCTCCATGCATGAAGAAGGTACGTGTGAAAGTTCCGATGGCGATAAATACTATAAACCTTTAAATGCACGTTGGCGTGGTGTATGCACATGTATTTGAATATATATTTAAATCCAGTTAATTTTACTTTAGTTCATTCCGTTTAGTCAGGTTAAGAAACTCAAGAGCACGTTCAACAGGTATTAGTGCACGTGTAGAGGCAAGAATTTGCATGTGGGTACCTATCAAGCTATGTATTATGCAAGTAAGTATGTCCAAGTAGGTTAGTGACTGTATGCATATATGTGGCTTTGTTCTGAAACACATTAAAACATGTGTGATTACACTACGTGTATACATCACCATCACTGTCATCAATGAGTACTGCATCAGCATACATGATTGCGTGCATCTACGTAGACGTGTATATGCATGTGTGTGCACACACCTGCCCAAGTACAGACCACGAGGCCCAGTTGAAACGGTGGCAGGAAACAGTCGAAAATCAATCCCCCAAACTCAAAACCCACACTCACGAACTCACCTACCCACTGCAAGTAACGCAACACAAGTTAAACTATCCAACCACTCATCTGTATGGATAACATTCCATAAACTTGTTCTAGGGCAGCGTAGACGTTATCTATGTAGCATGAGCCACGCCGCTCGGGGTGAACTATCGGACGGGAGTTGACGATTGTGTAACTTCGAGGGGGCTAAGAAGCAAACAAGGCGTGGTGCTGACACCTGGGCTGCTTGTCTGAACCCGCACAGGTAAGAGGAGGGGCGTGGTCAGAGCGACGAAACCACGCCCTGCTAATTAGCATTAGCCAATGGAGTAGGGGGAGTATCACCCCCCCCCCCCCTCAACGTTCTACCTGTACCCACCCACTTATCTGGGCGAGTCCAAGTTGATTGGCGGTTGGGGGGGGGTGTGGACTGGCCCAAGTTTCAAATATTCGTGCCTCTCCAGTAACGGGGAATGTCCGGCTTTCTTCAAATAATTAAACAATACTCGATAAAGTTACATTAGGTTTAACATTACAGTATACAATTGTTGTCAATAGACAATGTTGTATTGCACTTTAATAACTGAAATCATATACTGTAAGGGGCCGTCCATAAATGACGTCACGCGATTTTGGACGATTTTTTACTCCCCCCTCGTCACACGGCGTCACAAAAAGTCAGACCCCCCCCCAAATATGACGTCACAAAGCTCTGTCCCCCCCCCCAAACCATATTTCCATTTTGAAAATAAAACATGCTCCAAATCGCTTTAAACTATTGTCATTGTAGTGCGTATTTAATGTGGCGCTGTACTCTGATGTTGTAGGAGTGTTGCTATAACAATTAGTGTTGTTATAACAATTTTATATTTATTTAAAGTTGCGCATTTTGATGTGACGTCACATTTCTCAACCCCCCCCCCCTCGTCACACATTGTCACAAATGTCTAACCCCCCCCCCCCTTTAGGTGCGTGACGTCATTTATGGACGGCCCCTAGGTTGCACTCACCACTGTTATTATACGTTACAGAAGGCACTCACCGTTCACATAATCCTCACCTAAAACTCACGGCGGTAAGTCCTCTATTTACGTTGGGGGTGCGTTCCTGGAAAACACGACGGCGAGGCGAAAACAACGTAACTGGAATGTACAGACGCTTGTAACTGGCGAATACCACGCACCACTCACAGCAGCGAACACTCAACTCTCCAGACACCCCACATGATCCATAATATAGTTATTTTGTTCGGTTAGATCGCGTAAATATATGAGTGTGTCGTTTAACCCTCCACCACCCGACACAGCCAACTAGTAAGGGTTGTCACGTAAAGAGAACGTGGCCAATTCGTCACTAGTACAGCACTAGCCGGTGTGTTGGAGAGCAAATTGACAACATTTACAATCTGAGTACGACGTTTCGCCAATAATTACAACTAGCTTCGTCAGGCGACAGCCAGATTTGGGGAGAAATGTTCCTTTTTCGTTCCTTAGAGGGATAGATGAGATGGCATCACTTGTGAGCCCTTCACGTGCGAATTGCATATATATTTTAATGGGTATCCAATACGGTTGGGTTATTCATATGGTAACACTATGCAACACGATTTTTGTTCCTGGGTACTAAGTGTTATTTTCTAATTGCTTATGCCTCAAAGGTATAGAAAATGGCTATTATTACCCACAAACTTTGCTTTTGTGACCAGGACTTTATGTGAAGGAATGACACAAATGCACACCACGTTTTCTCATTGAAAACAGGTACATTTCAAAATATCACTGTCCTAGTCACAAAAGCAAAGTTTGTGGGGAATAATAGCCATTTTGTGAACTTTTGAGGCATAAGCAATGAGGAAATAACACTTACTAGCCAGGAACAAAAATAGTTTTTTTTACACAGTAATTATAAAATCAACGTACATTACGCATGCACTACGTGTTAAACCTCACGAAATACCAAACACGATACACTCAGCTCATACACACTCACACTCAACACACACTATACACACACTCACCACAGACTCACCATTCATTACACCCATCACGATACACATCAAAACTCACACTATCCACCACTCGCCACCACCAGCTATGCCTACTTAAGACCGAGGCGTGTTCCTTCGTGATTTGAGCAAAGCTAGGCATGTTTCCCGAAGGCAAGTATCTATGGTATTGTAGGTTTGATGTATTTATGGCCACCGCACACAACACCAGTAGTCAATGCATGCCAGCGACATCACTGGGACTGGGCCACACCGACTGCGTCCACTCGGCATTAAACACATTGTCCTGCGGAGGGAGCTGGTAGGAACGTTGGGCTGCTAGGTCAATGGCCAGGGTCAACGGCGGCGTGGTGTATTCCGCAAATATGCCCGACTGTGAGGGCGGGCACAGTAAGTTAAACGTTTAAGGGCACCACGGGGTGACCAGACCCTCCCCACCCAGCCCCACCCCTCACCCAGCCCCTCCCCATCCAGCCTCATCCTCCCCATCCAGCCCCTCCCCACCCTCCCCACCCAGCCCTTCCCTGCACGACGGACGGACACAATAATCCCCTGTGGGCTGGTGTAACCAGGGGGTTCCTACCAGTAACAAAACATAAAAGTTCCTGACCAATTTAGCAATGCTGCCAGCTCATTTGAACACCACCTCCTGGCCGTATCACGCATGGCCAACTTCTCCCTAATAGCTGCTCGCTGACACCAGCACATCACTCGGAACGTGAAACGGATCGCAGCCACCCGTGACCTCCCATTCCCACAACTTGTTTCACCCATAGTTCACAACAACGCGGGAAGGCAACCCTGCAATTCCTCGCTCGTGCCACTGCTGACGGAAGGGGGCCCTCTCCACTTGAGCAATCTCTACAGGGCCCACGTGCAGTATCGGGTATTGAGCCTACTGCTGGCTCTCGACGTCTCGATGGATCGTGGTTGAAGCCATGTATACTGCTGCACGGGCAGAGATGATGGCGAGATTTAAGAAACTTAGCCAAGACTGTATGTATATATGAAACATTTCAAGCGCCACGCAGGGAAAATCGAAATGGCAACCTTGGGATCAATTCAAGTCCAGTGTGAGCCAACCATGAGCACAGCGCAGCAGAACGATATGTAATGTAACGTTGTCATAAAAATAATATACCGTATTAATCTGTCCACCACAGGGACCCTGCTCAAATTAGAACACGAAGACACAGTATGCCCAGATGTTACAAACTTGACATTCAACGACAAGAAAACTAACCGATTTCTCAATCTTGAAAGCAACTGGCCGCGTGAGAAATGCGCGCAGTGAATTAAAACGCTCCACGCTACCTTCACATGTCCTCGTCCAGTGTTCGTCGACGGTTCTTATCGACGCCTCGTCTTTCGCCAAGACGTCTCGGGTTTGCGGTCATGTTCACGTTGCTCGTGTCCGCTCGCCGCTTTCTTTCACCCTCTCCGCCCCGTGGTAAACTCCCCAAGCCCGGCATGGCCACCCTCCCCCCCACCCGCTCCTTATCGGAGAGTTGCGCATTTCCCACCGTTTCGCAAGAAAACGCAAGTTCCGTTTTCCTTTTTTGGTTGTGAACATCACGCGGAGTGGTGACCGAACAAAACTGGAAAAAAAAATTAAAACCGGCAACAGCTGAATCGGTGGTGAAGCACCGCACGTGCAGCAGAGGTCGCAACCGGGTACCCGATACCCGGCTACCCTACCCGATACCCACCTACCCGTACCCGGCCAGGTACGGGTACGGGGTACCCGTTTGCGACCCTGGTGCGGCCGGGTACGGGTAGGCCGTGAGTCACTGGTGAGTCAGCCGTTTGTCACTCATTTCGGGTAGGGTACGGAACGGGTACCCGCACCCGGCCAGGCACAGGTACCCATTTGCGACCCTGATGCGGCCGGGTACGGGTACGGAATCAAAACCCGTTTGCGACCTCTGACGTGCAGATCCACGGCTCGGGGTCAACGTGGCAGGGGGGTGAGGGCATCACGACACAAGTGGCCGGTCGACATGTCGGGTCGGTTCACCGACGAAGGCTGGGGAATTAGATGTTGGGTGGCGCGTCGATTCGTGTAATTGTTCGGGCGACTACTTACTGGTTGGCTCGTTTAGGGGTAGGGACAAGTTTTATGGGGTAGGGACAAGTTTTACGTCGGGTAGTTAGTTACACTGGTAGGAACCGCTTGGTTACACCAGCCCACAGGGGATTATTGTGTCCCTCCGTCGTGAAGGAAGGGGCTGAGTGGGGCGTGGGAGGGGTGGGGCTGGGTGGGGAGGGGCTGGTCACCCCGTGGTGCTCTTATAAAAGTCAACGTTTAACCTACTCACGCCGGCTTGTGCCCGCCCTCACAGTCGGGCATATTTGCGGAATACACCACGCCGCCGTTGACCCTGGCCATTGACCACTCAACCCAACGTTCCTACCAGCTCCTTCCGCAGGAATGTGTTGGTTAAGGTCAGTGGGAGGGCTAATACAGGACTAGTTGATTAGCAGCTCCGATGAGCACGGTTGGCAACGTGAAGTGTGGACTAAATTCCAGTTCTATACATATGTAGAGTAGGAGAGTGGTGGCGTCATGTGCGCTGTCCGGTGCGATGGCGTCACGGGACGTGGGGTCATGCGCGCTGGACAGCCCTTAATACACGGCGAAAGTCCTTAACCTTACCTCAGTCTCTGAATGAGTCGTCGCCAACTTCTCTATACATACATTAGGAATGGGGGGGGGGGGGGGTAGCGTTTGGCTGGCAGGATGTGCTGTGGCCAAACTGCGTGCATGGGAAAGTCTGACCAATTCCTTTTTAAGGGCAAGTTTGTGCGTGGGAGAAAACCAATTCGTGAGATCATCACATTTCAAGGACTGTAGAGAGATGGGTGCAACGAACTCGCTTTACTGCCACTTTATAACCCAGTGGGTTTGGAAGTTCTTCAAATCTTCGTCTGAGCCACCAACCATTGCTTCCCAAAACGTGCTCGGTCACAGGTGTGCACCACAATTGGAAATGTGAAGGTTCAAATCCCAGAGAGGGGTTGACAATCCACCACCGTTTGGTACTTGTCACTTTGCGAAACAAAGTCAACAAATCATGTCCCGAGCATCAACTTCGCCCTGGCATAGGAATGTAGAATGTCCACCATTTCAATGAGGCAGGTTGACAAATGTAATACCAATGTGAGTTTTATTAGTTCTTGTTCGTAATGATTTACAAAACACAAGTTTACATAAGCAATACAAAACTATGATCTTTTTCTGCAAACAGTACTATCCTCAAGGACACCTTAATGGAGTCTCAAGACTTTCAGGAGTGTCCCGTTTGGCTAATGTTTTCCTTACAAGGTATCGATGCATATGCAGTGGGCGGAAATCAGAACGCCCGGAAATAAACGCACGCACTCAAGAACATAACGCTTAATAAAATGTACAGGTTAGTAGGCCTGTTGCCTACTTACTGTACCGCTTTATGGAAACTCGTAGTCCAGCCAGCCAGGGGAATATCTCTGCGTGCTACACAAACCTCATCACTTCTACAGCGTTAGATAGTAGGCATGCAACTAACACTCCAGGCAAGCGACAAACGTACGGGGCATTTTACACTTTAAAAAATATACTAATTACACGTTGCATTTGAATTGAATGAATGCGAATATGCAGATATTTTACTGCACAGCTTGAGTTTCGCGTGACTGAAAAACAAGATGCATGCTGGATGGTTAAGGGCAGGTCAATGTGATCCTCGGGGCTCTGAAGGGCTGTTCAGTTGTGCACCGCTCAACTCGTGGCATCGGCGAACACCAATGACTCATGAGGAGTCCTGAGGATGAAACTCGTCGAGTTGCCAGTTTCACTGCTGCTTGTAGGGATGGCCACATTTTCTCTACTCCTTGAGTTGGTCGTATGAACAAAATGGCAACACATTCAGTTCCTTTGAGCTCGTGGTCTGGATAAGGCCGAGGTACATGCACAACTGCACACTTGCTTGCCAAATGTGTTTCCTGCCAGAATTCATTGTTCCTTTATTTTTTCTCATCATTTACAGATCTGAATTAAACTACACTACCGCATTTTATTTTACCTTCACCGATAACTGCAGGGTTTTTTCCCTTGTTTTTATAACGTAAGACCAAGTTTCTGTTACCACCATACATTAACATTAAAGACTGGACCATATTCTATTGATGTTCCTCGTGATTTCAAAGTTAAATTGCATTTTCACCCCTTTAAAATAAATTTGAAAACAAGGGGTCGAATTTTCAGAGTAACATTACTCAGATCCAAAACCTTAACTTCAACGCTTGGCATCTGCAAACATTAAGATGGTATATTAAACACTTGTGGCCACCACAGCAGGGAATATACATTTTGCTCTGCCCATGTAAACATGGAATTTCCACTAACAGCTCAAGGCCCTTAAGGGCAATGCGCAATATCCAAATGTTGATTTGAGCAGAGAGACGCTACATCTTAACTTAAAGATGAACTACATGTATGCGGCAGATACAATTACAAAGATGTGGTCAGATGGCTCAGGGGTTCAAGCACTGAGCTGCCAAAGCCAAATTCGAACCCAGGGTTCAGCAGGCTTGGGATTAAAGTAGGTTATGAAGTTAAGAGGGTTTATGGTTCGATTCTGGTCGGCAATGACTGCATGGAAAAAAATAATATTCGGGTTTTTTTTATTTGGTTAAATATGCAGTGCCCCCTAGCGTGTCGAGGAAATGTGTCACTTCCGAAGGGCATTCTGACACGTGGTAAGAGTTCCAAATGGATTCCATGTGTATAATGCAAATGGACAAACAAGATTCAACAAGGTAACCATTTTATAACGGTTTAAGGCCACAACCTTGGTGGTCTAACCCATTAGACACAGGGTATGGTGATGCCACAGCATAAAATACATGGGAGGACCAATTCGATGAAACTATGGTCACGATTGTGGATTTTGCAGTCTAGCAATCACTTTTCTGTCTGACGAATTTCTCATCATTTACAGCCAAGTGCGAGAATTGGTTTACGGAGACGCCCAATACCAACAACTTTGCACTGGCAGATCCGAGCCAGTCCAGCGCGGGGGGCCCTTACTGCACGGGTAGTTTTCCACAGCCACAACCAAACCATGCTATAGTTGGCCTCACATGTGCATCTGGCTTAGGGCCAAGCAGGGCGAGGGGGCACGGTTAATGACACTTTTTACTACATCAGTCAACACAACTCAAACACAGCCGTCATCATCTACACGAGTCTTGCTACACTTATATTATGCATTTAACGTCAGCGGCACAGTTCAGTTTTCAAAGTGAAAATAAAACAACCCGGTGCCTCCTGAACCGCGGCGGGCTGACTCGGCACGACCCGGGCGCGGCAAGGATCTACACCCCTAACTCCAGAGCTACGCTCTCGGCACTATCGCTTACGCCGGCCCCCCTCCCCGCGCCGAGCCGCCCACTCTCCCACGGCCACGCCATCCTCCAGGCCCGAGCCCACGTCGCTGCCGCACTCGCTCCCCGTCTCGGATGCCGACGCGTCGCTGGCCCTCGACCTCCTCCCTCCGCCTCGTTTCTTCTCGTTCAGGACGATGATGGCCTCGTTAGCGGCGAGAGCCGCCTTGCGGCGCGGCGTGCGAGCCGGGAGTTCCATCACGACATCGTCCTCCTCCTGTGCAGGGCCGCTACCCGCAGCATTCCCGGACTCCACTGCCTGCCTCGTGCGGGGTGCCGTGCTCACGCTCCCCTCTCCGACCGTTATTACCGTCGACGAGGAAAGAGCAGGGCGTAGTGCGGCAACGGATCGCTTTGCGGGCGTCTTGGCACGGGTGACTTTCGCCGTTTTAGCCGGTGTCTTCGATGTCGTTTCTTCAGAATCAGATAACTCGATTACAACTCGAGCTTTACAAATGTCCACATCAACTGCAGAAACTCCCTCCTTGTCGTTACCTCTCGCAGCCTCCGGCTTGGAAGGCGTCTTTGTTTTCCTTTGTTTCGGTGTTTTATTCGGTGTCTTTGTGGACGCAATTTCTTCAGTATCGGACAACTCGATGACTTGTGGAACCTCACCGTGGTCGGCACCAGCCGCAGAAACCCCCTCCTCGAACCCATTTCTCCCTTTGGCAACAGTGGGCATTGAAGGGGTCTTTGGTTGTTTTTGTTTGGGCGTTTTAGCTGGAGTCTTCACAGACTTTGTCGCCGGCGTTTCAGACAAGGGGGCAATGGCGGGAATTGCATCGACGCCCATCGATTCTGGAATGTTCTCTTCCTCTTTAACGTCATCAGATGCCGGCTTTGAAGGGGTCTTCGCTCTCTTCTGTGTTGGCGTCTTAGCCGGCGTCTTCACGGTGGACTTCCCAGGGGTTGCAGACAAGACATTAATCGCAGGAGATGCAGGGACATCGCTCGCTGTCACAATGTCCTCTTTCTCTGCCTCCTGCTTCGTGTCAGCAGTTGGCTTTTGGGGAGTCTTGACGCCTTTTCGTTTCGGTGTCTTCACCAAAACCTTCTCAGCAAGGCCACAGAGTGGTTGGGCAGGAGACGCGCATTCTTCCACCACGATGGCAGAGACTTTCTTTTTCTCCCTCTTCGCAGCGCTGTCACACTGCGCGGAAGATGGGGTCTGCTCTTCCTTCTGTGTCTTTTTCTTGGTGGGGGTCTTTAGCGGAGTGTTCTTCCGAATCTCTGACAAGAAGCTGACAACGGCCGCTTCCTCTTCCATGTCCTGCCGTCACCTCTGCGTCATCTTCTGTCACCTGAGCAGCTGGCCCCCCCGTAATAGGAGTAGAATTTTTCTTTTTCCTGCGGTTGCGTTTCGCCTTCTTAGACGGAGTCTCCTCGGGGGTCTTTGCCAGGGTCCCGATTAAAGTTTCATCGGCCACCGACGCCACCACCTCATCTTCCTCCACAGCTTTAACTTCCTTCTCTACGCAAACGCTAGACTCCTTGGCCACAGCTCGTTTCTTCTTCTTGGCCGACGACTTTGTCGAAGCCTCCGTCGTGGGGAGCTCTCCCAGCTTCTCCTCGGCCTGCAGCACAAACACGAGAGAGATCTGGGTCAATTCTCTGCTAAAGGTCTCCCCCCCCACCACCACCCATGCCTGTGTGGGGCATGCAGGTTATTTGATCATATGTCACTGCAAGTGATCAGGCTGGTGGGAGCAGGGAGCAAGGAAAGTTATCACCAAGTACAAAACATGTACAGTAAAACCTTGGATTGCGAGTAATTTGGTCTGCGAGTGTTTTGCAAGAAGAGCACATTTTTAAAATAAATATTAATTTGATAAACGAGCGAGGTCTTGCAATACGAGTAGTACGTATATACGCTTTGTCTGCCGAGCATCACATGATCACAACTGCGAGTGCTTTGGATTACAAACACGTTTTCTGAGCGAATTATGCTCGCAATCCAAGGTTTTCCTGTATTTTACTGCACTGCCCCCTGCTGACCATGTCGAGGCCTGCAAACTCTGCAATGGCCAAGCGGTGGCCAATTCGATGCGTGTTGGTTCAAGGTTCGAATTCCAGCTGCCGCTTTGGTTATTTTACTGCAGGTGTTTAAACCGCAACAAAACAGTACGGCGCCGCCATCGGCTTCAATCATATTACGTCATTTGTTAAAGTAGGCCATTGCGTGCTGGAGTCATGGTCAAAAGTTGGCAATAAAAAACAATGAACTACTAATTCTGAAATTGGGATTATACATAGCAATCATCGCCACCTACTGCAAAAAAAACTTGGAAGGATCCTCCGCAAATAGTCTAGGGACTTAAGCGTTTGCTTTCCTCGATAAATATGATTTAATGACGCTATATAAAAACACCATTATTACTCTTGTGATTGCGATCTTACGACACATCTGAACAGGGGAATGTTTGTGGCCAGAGAAATTTCTACCACTTTCTTAAAACTACCAATGGAAGTGAGCACTGCCCCAATCCTCATTTGAACATTAACTCATTTGACTCGACAACTTTTCCATGTTTCAAAGGCCCTTTTAGAGAACAGAGGGTCACATGCACAAATGTAGTGTGCGAGCACGTACATCCCTTGGTCACGCCCACTGCTATAGGAGTGCCTCCCACAGCCGCTTCGTTCGTGGGGGATGAATGACCATACTTTGGCAGGAATGCTAGTCGAGTTAAAAGGAGGGCACAGGACCGATTCAGTTATCTAATCGCCACCCGTGTTAGCCGTGGCCGGGAATCAAACTCGGGTATATACGGGCGTTGAGAGCAGCACGCAAGCCACAACGCCACCACCGCAGTTCCAAACCAGAGAGGAAGCCACAGCAAAGTTACCACGCACGCACCTGCAACTTGGCCTTCTTGGCCGGTGAGCCTTCGCCGGGAGACGTCGGCTTCTCGCGCTTTTTCTTTTTCTTCTTCTCCTCCCCGTTTGTCTTTTCCTGCAATCGAAGCCGGGGGGGGGCGGGGGGGGGGGGGGTCTTAACGCGGCGTTCACGTCGGCGGTTCGCATCGACTCGCTGCAGTGCCGACAAGCGTAGGACTTTCACCCCGGCGCCGCACCAGTTAAACACATTTTCTTAGGCTTTGTGTCAAATCAAGTCGGTTTTGTTAAACCAGGTGGTGATAACTCATGTGACGAGGATAGTCTCATTCATCACCAAACTGACGGAAGCTAAAATTGAGTTCAGCAATGAAATGTTCATGAAAACAAAAAAAGACGATAGCAGAACGAATTTCAATTGTTGCACAAACACATCGGAATATTAAATTCCCTGCAGCGCTATTCAGCTCGGGCAGATTACCTCCTGATTGATCGCGGAACGAATTCTAAAACTAAGCTACAGAGACATGAAACGGATATAGCTCGATTATAATGCTCATGTCAAATTGCAATCGTAAGTGATGTTATCATAGTAGCATTAAATTGTGAAAAATCGTCAAAATATACACATCATGGCTACTCGGGGCTCAAATAAACTCTCAAACCCACAGGTCGTTTAACTCTTTTTCAACTTCAAACAAGTGTGGGGTGTTGCTCACATCTGAACCAGCAGTGGAAATTCCTCATTATCAAGGAAGGAGCCAGTGCCCCCCCCCCCCAACCATAATATTCTGCTAGAATTGCATCATCCGTCGACTGGGACGCGGACTAGCAAGTCGAGCACCCTGGCGATCGTAGCTCCCGCAAGCTACGTCGGAATCAGAACTCCTACTGGAGGGATCTGATGAGCTATGAAGCTATTTTCTGATTTCCAGTACGGGCCACGGGGTCAGAATGTGACAACAACAACAATATAAAAACACGATAGGAGTGCAAAGCATCGGAAAGATAAACAAATCAAAGAAAACCCATTGACCAATTCACTTATTTGTCAGAAGAGACCCGACCACAAATGACAGCTCAACAAAGTGGCCAATCGTGTTGAAATGTCGAGCAGCAAAACACTCCAAGCAATTGCCTCGTCAGCGGTAGACTTGAAGAGGTCCTTGCGGTTGAGCACGGTGGCAATGGCGTCAAGGCTCGACGTGTACACCGGGAGGGCCACGGACACTTGCGTCTTCACGTGCAGAACCTTAACGTTGCCCCATCCCTGGAGGGTGTCGCACGCGCACACACAGACAAAAGATCACCCATATAGCCTAAACAGACTGTTGGGGCAAGTGCTATTAACGAGCACCTATGAAGGCTGGGAACGGCACACGAGGGGATGGGGGTTTCCAGCACCACGCCCGACCGCCTTTGTCTTCCCAGTGGTGATGTTTACACACCGCACCAGGTACTCATTTGAGGCCGAGTCGACCTAGGGGAGCCTCAGGAACGGTTCAAATAAACGTCACCGTTGTCGGCCGTGAACGGGAATCGAACTCAAGGGAGTATGCCAAGGGAGTGGTAACGTATTTATCCCTATAATGTGTGTGGTCATTTGAATGAGGAACCTCAGCGGTCTCTGTGATATCCGCATCTGTTGGTCGTTCTCTACCACCAAGGGCTGCAGGACCCTAGGAGATTCCCTAATGGATTCTTTGATTCTTATGAAACGACGGTCATTGATCAAGTTACAATTGGGAATAAAATTACTGAGAAACAATAGAAAACCGGCACGGAAACTATTGCTGTTGATGGCTGCCCCTCCCCCCCTCTCTTGCCCGGGTGCATCATGGTCTGTGGGAACAAAAGGACTCACCCCTGGACACTTTTTGGCCATCGTCGAGGCAACAGTCATGATGTTTTCCACGATACCGTTCAACTCCATGTTCGTGTTGCCCACCAACACCGTACTGAGAGACAAACATCACCAACAATACGCATCAACATCCGTAATCAACAACGTCGTCATCGTGAATCAAAATCACCATCACAATTATCGTCGTCCATCGCGGTTATAAACATCGTCGTCCATCTTGTCGCTCCTCCGATTAGCACAGTTGGCTAAGAAGTGCGAAAGAAGTTCAAAATACATAAACATACAATCTTCACAATTACGGTCATCACCAATCATCATCGCAGTGTGCAAACTACTGCTCCACCGGTGCCATCGCACACGCCGAAGCACACGGAGACAAACGCACGAACACGTACTTGCAGTTCCCCTTGCTCGAGATATGCAGGGCTGTCCCCGAGATGAACCTGCCCAACTCTCGGTCCAGATGCTTGTGCAGCAAATTCACCGAAAGGGGGGCCCTTGATACGGACAAGGCACACGCACACACAACAACCCCGATTAGCGAGCCGAGCGCGGGGACAGACGCCCGTAATGGATCGTTACGAGATCAAAATGTATTTCACGATTCCAACTCTCCTCCCCACCCCAAAGCCATAACAGACTGTTGGGGCAAGTGCTGTTAGCGAGCACCTATGAAGACCGGCATGACACACGAGGGGGGTGAGTCGCCAACACAACCTTCGACCGCCTGTCGCCCCAGTGGCGATGTTTACACACCGCACCAGGTACTCATTTGAGGCCGAGTCGACCTAGGCGAGGCCCAGGACAAGTTCAGATAATCGTCATTGGTGTTGGCCGTGAACGGAAATCGAACTTGGGTTGCCAGGTTTGTAGCACAGCGCGCTAACCATTTCACTATCCGCCCCCCACCCCACCACGATTGTAATCCAGCACTATGGAGGCGAGGGGTGGTGGATCACCAATTCTTGCACGCAAACACCAAACGCACGAATCTCCCGCAAAGCAACCGATTAGGATTCATCGGTGAGAATACGCCAAGCACCGCCGCACGACGGCGCTAGCGCCGCCGCACCGCAGTGGAGCGCTCACTTCTTGGCCGCGTAGAAGTGTCGGCCCAGGTGCGAGGGTAGCAGGCGGCGGATGCGGGAGTCTGCGAGGAAGAGGTCGTAGCTGCGCAGGAGCTTCAGCTTCGCCTCGTACGGCTTGTACTCCTTCTTGAGCGTCTGGTAGGGGATCACCTGCGCGTGACGAGCGGGGTGCCAGAGACAATCATCACGGTTAAGGTCACGAGGTGTCAGTGGCCACTCGTTATGGTTGTTTTGTCATTATCTCCGTCGTATTACGATTGTCTACCAATTTCCTCATCATACTTCTGTTGATGCCATATATTGTACAGGTGGGTCCGCGGACCTACATGAGGTGATGTTCCGAGAAAAGGCGCAGCAAGTCAAAACCATGCAAGTCGAGACCGATTTTCCAAGCGAAACAATGACATAATAGGGGTTTATGTTCCTGATCAAGGGTCCTATATGCAGCTTTTTATAGGTAAGAATAAAAATATCACATTTAATAAACTGTCAATCATATATCAAGCAGTTAATAATGGTGTTTTGAAAGATTGACGAAAGTCAGACTTAATTCGAGGACCGCGTGTATAATGTACATCCCCCCTTTGTCCATCTACTGCTGAACGTCTCATCATGTGGTGTCAAAAGCACAGGGGTTGTTTGACCATGCTTCACCAAGCCGGTCAGTGCGGGTTGACATAGTTGGTGGCGGGCAGGACCGGTTCAGATATCACTCGCCACTGATAGCCGTGGTGGGGAATCCAAATCAAGGCACTGGGCTCACAATGCGCATCAGCTGCAGATGTCGCCGGGAGAATGAGAGCAGTACACACCTGAGTGATGGATTTGATGTTGCTCTTCTGCAGCAGCTTGTTGTAGAAGCTGCACGTCTGCTCGGGGCTCATCTTCGGCTCGTCCTTGGTGAACAGACACACTTCCGCATCGTCGGAGCACACCGAGTGCGGCAGCCCTCTACGGGAGAGAGAGACGCGATCGTGCAAATCACATTCAGGTCACAGTGGGAACTGCCGAGGTGGGTGTGGTGGTGGCACGTCTATGATCCCAGCACTCTGGAGAGTTGTTGGGGAATGGTGTTAATTTTTATTGGGATAATTAATTCACCTACCTTCGAGTTATCACATAGACGTGTCTATTTTCACAGCCGGGTGTGGGGCACTTTGGTGAGGGCACTGAACTCGCAACAGTCCACGAGTCAGATATTTCTACTTTTATATACATGTGAAGACAACTATGGAAAGGAGCATATTGTCTGTTACCGTTTTCGTTATTTGTTTTTATTGAATGTGGTGTGCCAGATGCCTGGTGACAGACAGGGCCTGTGCTTTGTGTTTAAGAGGGTGGAGGTGGCGGCATCACGTACATCTTGATGACGCAGTCCTCGGGTGGGATGCGCCACACCGTCACCATCAGCTGGATTCTGCTGGCCACGTCGAAGAGCGGCTGTTTCTTCTCCGCTTTCACCGGCCTCTTGTTGTGATGCTCGATCAGAGCCTTGATGCCCAAGCTCACCTGCAGCCACGGGACACAAGGCAACCGGCGTCAGCACCACCACCACCGCCACAGTGCTACCATCCACGCAGCAGCGCCTTTTGGCTGGCCATCGAACAAAGACGGTCACCACAATGGATGCGCTTCTGCGGCCATCTGGAACGCTCGTCCCATATTAGGAAGCCACTGGAGCGATGCAATTTTAAATATCGATTGAAAACTCATTTCTTTAGAAATGTTTGTGTTTAGTTTGTTGTCCTCCCCCGACACCTCCGATTCGCGCGGTTGGCTACGTGCGGTGCGAAAGAAGTTCAACAAACGTACATAACCATCATCATAGGCTGCGTTCTATCCCCAGCATGATGAAGGGCACCCCGCGTCGTCATTATCCATTTCAGTCACGCGATGCCGTAAACTAACTCAACTCCTGTGCATGATCATTCATTGTATATGCACATCCCTTTGTGTAAATCCACTGCGAGATCAGGGCTTCCAACATGCAGTGCGGGGCATGGGGATTATTAGGACACTTAACTTTCATAGCACTGCTTAGTGTGGGTTGAAGGTTGGGTGTGCAGGTGAACTGTAACAATGGATTTTGCTGCACTACTCCCTGCTGGCCACAATGTAGCACCACATTCTGTAACACCTGTTGCACAAGGTAATTACCCAGCCAACCACTCTCCAGGCTAAAACAAATGTACCTTTCGAAATCGTGCTCATGCAAGGGTGAAAGTCACAGATTAAGTTTTTGTAAAAGATTTACACAAACTATATTTTAATAATTTTCCCAAGAATCCCTATCTTTTTATTTACACAAGTTGGCTTCGTGCAACCGATTTGGCTTCATTCAATAATGTAGCACTGAGTTTAACACGGAGGCTTTATGAATGTAACACTGAGTTTAACACGGAGGCTTTATGAATTTAAAACTGGGTAATATTTTTTTTCAAAACATTTCTAAATATAATCAACTTCGGTGAGGTGGTAAATTTGATTAAAAAAAAACTGTTAGCCAAACGGTTCCTGCAAGCCAGTTTATATTATTTAGTGCAACAAGTTACCAAGACTCAAGAAGAAGAAAATGTTATACTGTATGTCGAAAATAAAACCGGTGGCTACCACTCAAATAATTCTAAAATCACAGAACGGTATTTAATTGTGAAATTTTAATCATCCATTTGAGACCATGATACGTTAGTGTTAAATAATAATAAACAGCTACGTTGAACGCCGCCCACGTGTTCAATGGCTATGCTCGGTTTGCTGCACGGATTACGCGTTACATTGTACACGTCTTTGTACTCCGGGCCTCCTTTGGGAATGAAAACCAATGGTTTGTAAAGATCTCAAATACAGTATCGTACGCATGTATACAGTCCTTAATTCTAGATTTGAAGCTTTCGTGACTGCAAGGATTCATGCTCTAAGTTCTTTCGGTAAAGTCACGTAGGTAAAAAATGAAACACTGCTGGTTATTTCACGAGATCGATGCCCTCCCCTCATCCAGCAGTGGATCAACAAAAAAAGGGCCTTACATCCGATAGTCGTAGAATGGATAACGCCAGAACACGACCGTCAAACATATACATTTTAAACGCATTAAGCCGCGAGTTAATGGCTACGTTGAACTCAGAAGCGTGGGCTTGGTTTAATGTACCCAGCCTGCGTGCATTATATTCCGTACAGTACACGTGTTTGTGCTGTTAAGACAAAACATTCTGGCTTTTCTCGCCACAAGCATCTCACGTCTGGCTCTCGCCGTGCAGGTCGCGCCGCAAGCGGCCACGATAATAGGCGCTGGGATTGGTAGGCCACTAAGTCGCATCGCAACACCGTTAGGGATGGCGAGCGCTCGTGCAGGCCTTCATCCAGCAGCCGATTGCTCACGGCCGCCAATTGATTGTGAACGGCGATGGTTAACGAAGAAGCGCGTTAAAGACGACGCGGTTCATGGGACTCGCACGAGGGCCCAGCCAACAACCATCGCAGGGCCTAAACCCAGCGCGGCCACCACGTGCCGCCCTTCGCATACGCACCCACCACGCATCCCGCTCGACCCGCCTCAGCTCTCAGCTGTGAGCGAGCGAGGAGGCATCTCGTCCTCCATCATCATCGTCACCACCACCATCATCATCACAAACCTGGGACTTGTTCAGCCCCGGGGTCCGGCACACGTGCTCCTCCACAGCCGCCATCTCTGCTCGCTGCTGCTGCTCCACGTGGTTGATAGCCCTCGTCACGCTTTACGGCGAGAGAACTTTTACGACGCCGACGTAAAAAGGTGTATCAGTTGGTTTACGGCAGTGACGTCACGTTCGGTTTTGCGAGAGTGACGTCACTTCCGTGCACCGCCGCGCGCGCAGGCGCTCGTCACGCTTTACGGTAAAGGGGCGTGTGTTGTTTTACGACACGCGAAGTGTAAATTTAAACGACGGTGACGTCATTGCCCAAGGTTTGGGGTGGGTTCGATAACGATTCAGAGTTCAGAAACTCGAGATTCGATTTTTGTAAAAAAAAACGATTCGATTTGAGATCGAATCATTGCATTTTTTGAGATCGAATCATTCGTCAGTTACACTTTTTTAATACACTGTGATCTATCGTATAACGCCTCCACTAACTAATTACAACTAATTACAAACGTTAGTTTCTCTGACACGCGATTTCTTGCGCTCATTGTTAGCAATCGAATTACTTTAATCGATTACTGTAGTCCTTTCGATGATTTACGGCAGATCGTTTTACGATGATCTCGCCATGGGTTTTACGATAGTGACGTCACCGGCTCGCGGACCAATGGGGAGAGAGGATTCTGGTTCATTGAACCCAATGCAGGAATCGTTGACGCAGATCGATGATTCGATTCCGATTAATTCCAGCTCCGTCGATTCCAATCATCACGCTGCACACACACACCAACCCCTCCCCGTGTTTAAATAATCGATTATTTGCGAAACACGTGAGCGTTGGACCCTATTTGGCACACGGGTCACTTTGCATACTCCACGTATTGCGAGGGTTTAAATTAAACACAGACGATTCACGAACAGATGTAATCGAGTGTTGGAATCGTTTGTCGATTTGCTGTAATCGATCCAAGCTGCACGCTGGTCGTGGGTGAGTTGCAAGCGGCTCGCGGTCCACCCCACCGACTCGTAACAACAACTATTCATTTATAACAACAACAATACTAATTCATAACGTGCCATACGGTTTACCTTTATTATTGTACGGGGACGTTGAGTTCTCAGCTCCATACGGGTAAAAAATTAACTTTTCTCGATGTTAAATTTTTATTTAAACTTTAAAGCTTTCGTGACTGCAGCGATTCATTTTCTTGCTTCTTTCGGTAAAGTCACGTAGAAGGGAAGTAATAAAATAATAAAGAAATTGTTTTATATTGTTATTATTTTATTATTTCCCTTCTACGTGACTTTACCGAAAGAACCAAGAATATTTTCTCGATGCGTTTGTGTTTCTCCGCTTGCGATGGGATGAACTTGAGATTTAAAAGGGTTACACGGGCTGACCAAAGAGGTCTGAATCGATCCCTAATAAGCTCGGGCACTGATAGCAGTGGCAATCATTTGCAAACGTTGGAATTGCTGCTCGCGTTTCCAGAGGCAACCTGTTCCATTTCTTTAAATTCGTAAAATTATCGTTAGCTATTTAACGCTTCTGAGTATAATTCGGGCCCTCTTCTCGGCAGCGTGGTTAGACCACGGGTTTGTGTTGCGTGGCCACCACGCCAGCGGCGCTTCGCCTGGGAGGCATTTGACCTCCTTTTGACCTCCTTTGACCTCAGTGCGCGCAGAACGGCACGCAGTTGCATCAATAAGTGGCAGCATACCGCGTCAAACATAACGCAGGCTGGCTTGCTTCGTGCGCAGGTATCAAGGTCTAACCCCCCCTCAAATAACCTCTGATTGGCTCGGTTGGCTACGTACGGTGCGAAAGAAGTTCAATGTACCGTACAGTTCAGCTTATACTGGTAGGAACCTCCTGGTTACACCAGCCCACAGGGGATTAGTTGTGTCCGTCCGTCCGTCGTGCAGGGAGGGGCTGGGTGGGGAGGGGCTGGTCACCCCGTGGTGCCCTTATAAAACTCAACGTTTAACCTACTCACGCCGGCTTGTGCCCGCCCTCACAGTCGGGCATATTTGCGGAATACACCACGCCGCCGTTGACCCTGGCCATTGACCGAGCAACCCAACGTTCCTACCAGCTCCCTCCGCAGGAATGCGTTAAAGTTGAGGCAAGTGCTGTTAGCGAGTAGCGCCTGTGAAGGCCAGCAACGGCACACGAGGGGTGGGGGGCCAACACCACGCCCGGCCGCCTTTGCCTTCCCAGCGGCGATGCTTACAAGCGCACTAGGGTAGTTATTTCAGGCTGAGTTGACCTAGGGGGGGCCCAGGACCGGTTGAGATAATTGTCACTGGTGCTGGTTCTGAGCAGTAATTGATCTCGAGTCTCCGCGACACCACCGCTCCGCATGAGTACGGTATTCATACACATACGCACATGTGTACATGTGGATTTCATGAAAGAGAAATTACAGGCCATGCGTCTAGTTGAAAACAACCCTTATAACTTTCACATGTGTAATTCTGTATGTGGGTGGATGTTGCTGTGAGTTGGATTGCATCTGTGGTCATGTATGTGTAGTGACACACTCAGACACTAGGAGTAGGAGGCACTACATATGTACGTAGATGGGTTGGTATGTGTATCTGCGTGCTGCTATGTGAGTGTTCAGTGTATGAACTTTGTTTAGGCATTCCCTAGATGGACTTAGCCTTAAATCAGGAGCTGGTGCCGTGTGTAAACATCAGCACTCGGGAAACAAGGTCAACCAAGCGTGGTACTGGCCCTACCACCCCCTCGTGCTCCGTGCTGATCTTCATAGGTGTTCACTTACATCACTGGCCCCAACAGTCTGAAGGTTATACCGGGTGGTCTTTGCCTTTGTACGTGTAGTTGGCCATACATCCAATTACAGGACCACAGCGCTTGAGAATTTGTTGGCGCCAGCTCTGGCCGCCTTCCCGCATGTCTGTGGTTGCCTGTGCCTCCGTACCAAAATTGCTCCTGTTTTTCTGAAGGCTACACAGAGACATCCCGTGTGCGTGTTGGTGTGCGATCGGACACGATGCTGCGTCTGGGGAAGCTGGTGCCGGCGCGTACCATGCTGCTGCTGTGCGACATGCAGGAGAGGTTCCGCAATAGGGTCATCTATTTTCCCGAGATCGTGCAAGCGTCCGCGCGACTACTGCAAGTGAACATCGCCAAAGCACTGCTCATTACACACGCACAACACACGCACAACACACGCACGCACAACACACGCACGCACAACACACGCACGCACAACACACGCACGCACAACACCCGAACGCACAACACACGCACGCACAAAACTCACACGCAGACGAAGGTCTCGATAGCGCAATACGTCGATAGCGCAATCGGTGAAAAAAAAAAAACTACGACGAATCAAATTGTAAAGGAAAAGAAGACCACGACGATAAACACAAGCACCGAACGGCCCGTTGCAGGCATCGCGGCTGCTGGGGGTGGGTGCCGTCGTGACGGAGCAGTACCCGGATGGCCTGGGCCCCACGGTGTCTGAGCTGGGAGCGACGGACCTGCCCACCTTCCCCAAGACGTCACTCAGCATGGTCATGCCGGAGGTCCTGGCGCTGCTGGAGACGTTGCCGGCGCCGCGCTCCGTGGTGCTGTGCGGAATCGAGGCGCAGGCGTGCGTCATGGTGAGGGGGCAGCCGATCTAGATGCAGGGCATCGACTACAATTTCAAGTGCAGGTGGTCAAGCCAGACACTCCGCCGCGATGTCTCCTTCCTATTTGCGAATCGGGCATTGCGTCGTTATGCGTTGTACGGTCTGTGCTGGATGACCACAGTCGCACACTATTGGAGAGTTTTTTTACGTTCCATTTGTTGCATCAGGTATCCGCATCTGCTGCCACGGTTTCTGCGGATGTGGTTTAGGGTGGACCGTGAGCTTCGTGGAAGATCAAACCCAGCGATCTTCTGTGTTGGGTCTTTCATAAACTCGGTCGTCGTGGGTAGCGAGCGTGACGGCGATTGGTGTCAACTCTTAAGCTCCGGGGTTCTCTTGTAGAGTTGCGTGCGTGAGGTTCGACATGTTTCCGCTTGTGGATGCTGAAATTGGAATTCATTGCCCACGAGTGAATCACCTGGAATGCGCCTGATATCGTTAGACCGCATCGTGGGGGCATCGTGTGGTTGAGCCTGAATAAGGCCTTGGATGGGCAATTGTTGGTGCCGGCTCACTGCCTGGCTGCCTTCCTGCTCGACTGCCGCCTCAGTGATTGTGAGATGCAATTTACATGAACGATGCTCCATATACAACTTAAACAACACATTATCATTACTATCGTGGGTGCCAATTTCAACAGTAGCACAACCACTGATGGCTTTTTACAAATGGTAACAACATGACCCGCATAGTATCGAATGGCTTGCGCGTGCCAATGTTACGTCGTGTTAAGTTATTTGCGTGTGTTCCTGTATCGACCCTATTTCCCGCACACCCTCTCACTTTATGGTGATCACGGGTTGCCGTGGCGATGGTTGCCCTGGTGATGGCTGCCAGGCGACTGCGCTGGACCTGCTGGAGCGAGGCGTGGATGTACACCTGATCGCCGACGCCTGTTCCGCTCGCAGGTTGATTACCTTCAGCATAATATGCTCATTCATCAAGAGTCCAATACGGTGGTTGTGTAACTTAGATGGAATTCTCAAATGTCATGCACACTACCCCTTTATGATAATTATTTATAACTTTGTTGATCTACCGCTGGATGACAGCCTCTCCAGGTCTTATTGGTTTTGGGGCTTGTTTGACCGTACTTCAGGCTGGTCAGGGCATGTTGGTGAAGGGTAGGGTGCACAGTACAGGTGTATGTGGGTTTCATGAACAGCAAAAATGACGTTCGAGTGTGCCGAGGATTTCAGAACAACAGAGATGTGACGGATTTGTCAGATGCAGATGAATAACAAAAGTGGCTTTTTTGCGCATACGATGAGAGCCCTACTTTCTAGAGGGGAGAGTGAGCGACGTTAGCAGAGAGGTGAGATTTAGGAGATTGTGTGGAGAAAAGTAGAATTGAATGACGGGGAAGGTATGAGAGTGCTTGCAGAGGAGTGGAGAGAGATGAGAAGGAAGATGTAGGAGAGTGTGTGGAGGGGAGTAGAGTGAGATGAGAGGGGAGAGGCAGGAGA